GGTGTGAGTCTTGCCAGTAGAGAGTGATTCAAGTTTGATTCACCCCTCCCCAAAAAATCAGGCTCAAGTCAGAGATAAGTCCCCATTGCTTGAGTCTGAGCCCAAATCAAGGCCCTATTATAATTAGTACTTATTATAAGGAAGATGTGACTTCAATGAGGGGCCCAGTGGGGGGTTCAAAGTGCGACTGACTACCCTGGGCTCTGTAAATGAAAAGGGGCCTGGAATTAAAGTTTTTAAGTTTTTGTTTCTTTCTTTTACCCGAGTTAAAACTTTCAAAAGGTTAGAAGAGGTTTAAACAAATAATATCAAAGAGAAAAGAATAAATAAGCTGGCTGGGAAATGTCATTTTGTCCAATAAAAGAAAGAGAGTAATCACAAATACTGATTCAGCGAAAGTTTGGATGTTCAAAAACATGTATAAACTTGAAGCAGGGATGAAATGCTTTTCTCATGTTGTGTTCTGAACGCAGCTTCAGAAGTATGTTTTAGTAGGAAGGCCTGTGGTCGGGGTTTAGGGCTACTGCTTAATTGTAGATTGGTTCTGGGTTCAAATCCCAATAAAGGACTGCAATTGTTAAGTAGTTTTTAAATTATATCCTCACCCTTTAACTTTCAACAAGCATTTAAGAAACATAGGAAGTCCAAAAGGAAATATAAGGTGTTCAATAATCAGCAAGCAGTGAGAAGGGGTCTGGGACATGATAGTTTGGACTGCTTCAGAGGGAAAGGGTTCTGAGCTCAAGTCCTCATCAAAGCTTATGATGGGGCACCAAAGAAAGCAGCAATATTTCCTTTTTTTCCACTGTACTATGAAGTAAAAATATGAAAAACTTTACCAAAATTGTGAAATTAAAGACCTGAATAGGAACGCATAGCCAGTCAGGCCTGTGGCAGGGTGGTTAAAACAACTGTGTTTGAAATGGTTCGGGGTTTAAGTCCCCATCAAGGACCTTCAATGTGAAGCAGTGATGAATCTGTTTCCTGGCACTATGTCATGGATCCAGCTTTTGAAAACCATGATAAAACTTTAAAATTATAGACTTAGAGAGACAGGCACAGCCAAGGAGGGTATGGCTTAAATCCAGCTTTTAAATAGTTGTATGGGCAGAACAAGGTTTGGGAAAAGGACAGTGGAGGATAGAGAGGAGAGAAAGCAAAAAGGGCAAGAAAAAAGAGAACATTTTCATGCACATGGAGGCACATGTATAAACACTTGTCTGAGTGCGACTCTCCATATTTGACTACTAATGCTGTCAGCACTTGAGTCTGAGTCTAAATCAGTGTTACTAGTGCTGGAATCCAGGTTTAGACTCAAGTTGTAAAAATCCGGACTTGACTACTATGTCATCTCTAATATAAAAATAAGAAGTAGGATAAAAGACGAGGCTGGAATTAATGACGCTGAAATTGTCAATTGTTAAAAGTGTGTCAGTGACTTTATCAATAGAGAAATCACAATGTAAGCCAACTCTGCCTCAAATGGAGGCATTTCTGGAGCTCTTTAAACATCTTAATGAGAGGACAGATTCACCTCAGATAACTAGTTGGTCCATAAACTATTAAACGAAGGACCCAACCCAGATCAAAGCAAGAGTGACGAAAACATGCAAAAAGTAAGTCCACATTTTTCTATAGTGTAATTTAGCTGTGGACATCAAACAAGTAGTTCAGACCTTCAAACAGAAAAGCTTGAGTATATGAGGTGAATCCAGGCAGGTATCAGGTCATGTAGGGCTGCATGTCAGATCCAGGCATTGGTCTGCTCCAGCATGGGTAATAGGGTTGGTTTGGATCTGCAGTGGCAAATTTGTCAGCAGCTGTGTTGTTCCTGGTGTCTGTGTGCCCGGGATAAACTCCAGAGACTGATACCCAAGCTCCACACCAGGCTCCATCTCCTTACTCGCCAAACCACAAGGTCAAAAAACACAAATACTTAAAAAATGAGCCATTGCAGGCGAGATCTATTTATGGTTTTGTTTTTCATTGCATGGGGTTTGGGATTCATCATGATTATGATCATAAGTTTATGAAAGCTTTTATCATTTGCTTTGACAGAAAGTGTCATCTTGTGCTGGTTATTGTCGTCTTGAATGGAGTGAAAAAAAGCACTTGTGGGTTTGAGATCGCAAAACACATTGAATGCCTGAAAAGGATAACACCCTCATATTAAAACTTGTTAAATAAATAACTCTGCGCCCGAAAGTCAACATACTTTTTGAGGTTTAAAGTGAATTCAAATGCCATGCCAATTGACAAGTCAACATTAAATCTTATTTAAAATAAATACCAGCAACTGGGGTCGAACTGATCACATGCTGGTACAGTTGCCCAGTTGGCAGTTTTTGTATTACTGGCTGTGATCTGGCCTCCAATACAAGCATCAGGGCGTACTCATGCACACACACACACACGCACGAACGCATGCACGCACGCACACACACACACACACACACACACGGTTGTTTCCCCGACAAACCTTCTCTTGGCTCCATAATAATCACATAGGAGCAGTACAGTCAAAACATACGTGGTTTACACTACATTACATTTCTCCTTGCATACGTGTGCCCATGCAAGCAAAGGCATGGCAACACACATGCACAACCTATATGCATAAAGTCACACAGACACATAAAAACATCAGTGTGTGGATTTCCACTTTGGGCATCAAACATTGCTCTCTCTCTCTCAACTTTTTTTCAGTTGTATTTCTTTCCTCTTCTCTCCTTTTTTTTCTTTCTTTTTTTTTTTCTTTTTTTTTGAGTTTTGCTAGGTCCTGGTTCCAAACCCATATGCTGATGTTTTTACAAGACCCAGACACACACATACACACACAGAAAAAGGCACCATGCATGCAGAGAGACCTAGCCCTGGTTGACCTACATGTTGGCACCTTGACTGGAGATAATGGTGAACCCATGCAAGGGCTTTATGGTTTAAACTGGATTCACCAGACATTTAATGATGAGGACACTCTCATCAAATCTCATGTAAAGGTACTTTTAACAAGGACACGGGATACAGTTTATCTGTTTTAGAGAAATATGTGTATAATAAAATGTAGGTTTATACGATGGAGGACAGTGTGTCAGTTTCACTTACTTTTTTGTGGGTTTAACCGTTTAAAAGAAGGTAATTATTGTCTCAAGAAGATGTGGTGGGGAAAAAAATGGAAGAAAACTTACGAAAAAAAATCCTCAAGGACTTTTGTTCAGACAGTTTCCATGTTGTATCCAGGAAGCAGGCCACAGGCATCAAATACAGGCAAATAGACCGAAATCACACACACATATGTTCACACACCTGTGTACATATACACACACATTCCTACTAAGTCATACACACGCCCACAGACCTGGACTTTCCTACCACAGAAATTCTGATGTCTAATGCGGAGCCGCTAGACCACTTTAAACACATTCTCCATCTTACACACTGCTTCACTGGACATTCAAACTGTGCACACATACAGCACATACCATGGCATGTACGTGGATGTTGAGCGGCATTCAAGTGGCAAAGGCACGCATTAACGGCCACCACCACATCTGATCACACTCAGGCACATGTATGCAAAAGAAAGACATGGGAGCACAGTGTGTGCATGCAGTTCAAACACCCATACTTAATATGCATCCATACTCTTTCTCATCCAGGCACATAAACCCACAAGCATACATTCATGCACATGCACAGAGTCACACATATGACATTACGTATGTTTAAACAACCGTTTCCTGGTGCAGTGTGTGCTGGGCCGCTCAGGGTCTGGCTGGAGCCTCTGGGTGATTTGTCAGTTTGAGCCATGCAGGCAGGGAACCCCTCAAAGTTTGCTTTGGGTTCCAGAGGGACATGCTCTGGACCCCTGAATTCTTAGCCAAGGTATGCACTCAGCTTCACCTTCTGGACCATCACCCCTGGAAATGGTGTGACATGCACACATACACACAGATGAGGACATACGCATATGCAGAGAGGTGAACATTTGCAGAAGAAAGCGGTCACACTCACATTACACTCACACTTTTACACGTACAGTATGGTCTTTGTTCCAGGCACTTCCTAAGTCCTTTTAACCCTTGAACTGCTAATGAGATGATGACAGGTTTCTTTAAAAACGAAGGCAAGCTGGATAAGTCAAAATGGAGGGTGAAAAAAAATCCCATTAATACTTGGAAGGCATGGTTGGACTATGCTCAGTTTATTGTTAGAACCCAGTTAGGTATGTTTTCACATCATCCCATGAACACAAACATACTTGTGGATCATCTTCTACATGGACTTACATTTAATAAACATCTCCCATATCATTATGTCCAGAATAAGTCTGTTTATTCAAACTGTTTATCAGAATACTTTGGAATATGAGCAGATAATCCCCCTGTTGTTTGTGGTTTGTGGTATTATTTTTTAAGGAAATGAGTTAAAGCATCTGAGTGTTTTTTAATCTTAAAAGCATACTAATTTTCAAATAAAATATAAAAATAATAAAAAGTAATGTTTCCTAATGAAGAATTCAAGTGGGAAAACCAGATGGTAAGTAGCCTGGCGGTTGCAGAATTTGACCTCTTATACATAATTTCATTTTTGTTTTATATCTTTTATGTTATCAGAGGCTTTCTACCACTGTTTTCTACAAATTGTTTTTGTTTGATTGCATAATATCTCTTCCTAAAGTGTATTTTGTGTCTTTATTATACCTATAACCATTTTCCACACAGTCTTACTTAAAAGACTTCAGATTGCCATAAAGTAAAAAAAACAACAACAACTTTATACTAATTCTGGCTTGTATGGTATCAATGAATGACCAAATTCTTCAAAGGTGTATTTCAGTGTATATTGTGAGAGACATTGTGGAAATCATATCGACATACAAAGTGTGAAATAAGCACGATCTAAAACTTATTAGGCTTTTAGGATTCTCAGCTGAACCGCTCTTACTCAGTTTCCCATCAGGCTTTGCACAGAGAGTGGGTGGGTCTTACGCGGCTGTCAGCCAATCGTCTTCCTCCGAACACGGAACTGAGAAAGAAGAGGGAATTTTTCAGTTTGTTTACATCGCGGGATGAGAAGCTTCTCTTCAGGTCTGAAGGTATATAGAATTAAAGTCTTTTGCAGACTTCTACACTTTAAAAGTCAATTGTGAAAGCTGTACTCCTTGTTTATAAGTTAGTCTACTTAAAACGACTTAGTTTAGGTAAAAGCGGCAGTAAAAGAATAAACTTACCAACAGCTGGAACAACGTTAGCTCGAAAGCTGTGTTAATTTAGTGTTTTCACGGTGTCGGAAAACGTCGGCTGACAGGTAAAAGTTGTACTTTTGAGGCTCACGGACACCCCAAGATTGAACTGACACAAGTCTTCATGTGAAGGCTACCTGTAGTAGACTGAAGGAAATACTGGCATCCTGTGGTCTGGTGGAGTTGTTACACCTAAGGTGAGTTTGTGTACGACAGGTGAGCTGTCAGGTAAAGCTAAGAAATTCACTCTTATCTAAAAAAAGAGAAATAACGGCGTTTTTGTGTGTTTCATAGACCTTCACGCTCATGACACACCATGTATACTGTTTTAGACATACACACTTAAACTTTCGCTTTATCTGCTATTTCATTTGTTATTTTAGCTACAGTCTACTCTTTATCTTCGTTATTTTATTTTCGGCCCTGCTTAAAACTAATACAGTAAAATTAATACAAAATCAGCGTTTCAATAAGAATATGAAACAAAAATCTGTAGGTTTAAGCGAATTCCATGTGATGGTAGCTGATTTTCTGCATTGTATATCATTATTTAGGGTATATCTTAAATTAATTGGGATAAACAGCCTGCATTGACAGCCTATCCTACCTTTGGAGTTTATAAGTTTTGTCAAGCAGAGTTAAAATAGTTGCCAAAAAAGGCCAGCCTTTTTGGAACTAAAATCTACTTTCCCCAGTCAGCCAAGATTTGCACCAGTTTAATTTTAGTGTTGTGGACACACACACACACACACACACACACACACACACACACACACACACACACACTGTTCACATATGTTAAAATAAAAATGAAAAACTGAAAAGTAAACCAAATACAGGCCTGATGGGGTCACTGTCTTGGATGCAGCTCCAAATTCATCAAATATGATTTTTTTTAAAGAAAGGAATTTGTTTTTTGTAAAGTTTAATTTGGGTTAAAGACAAACTATTTAAAGATTGCATGTTATTTTTGTAGGGAGTTGGGCCTGGTATTTCCCCTGATTTCTGAATGTTTGAACAAAAATAAAAACGATAAGATTTGCAGTTTATTGCTAATAATACTGTTAGTTGCAATTTTAACACACAGTTAAAATGGGTTCAGCCACATGCTGCTACAACAAGTTATATGCATGGATTATCCCAGGTAATGACTGCCATTCTCTCAATTTTACTATTTTATGTTTCTGGCCAATAAGAAAGAGTTTGTTAGACTGTGTCATGCCCATAGAATTACAGATGATTCTTTTAAAACCCTAATATTATCCCATATTTTTCTACTCTAATTACTATGGCGAGACAAAAATCAGTTAGTCCGTTGCAATAAAATTTGACTCAGCCAACACCATGAAATGGCAACAATGTTAAAGTGACAATTGAAGTTTAGTATTGTATTTCTCAGTAGTAATTATTATATTAGCGTAATTATTTAAATGTAAACCCCCCCAAAAAACTTCAATGTCAATATGATATTGACATTATATATATACTACATTGGCCAACCTGCTCTCAGCATCAACATAGGTCTTTGAGGAACCAATATTGTTGGACCACTAATGTTTATTTGTGATGAATAAGTTTCTGTGAGTAAAACAAGATTGGATACCATTACTCTAAAGAAGTTGTATAACTCTTCCTTTTATGACTGTAACTGCCTCACCAGTACATAAATCTCTTTAAATCTTGGTGTTCTTGAACATACTGCTGCACACAGAAGTAAAAACTGATGTTTAACTTATTTGATTAGACTGAAATAATGTCAACAATCTCATAATTGGAACTGCAAACTCACCTTGACCCAAAGTACACAAGCTTAGTTTGACAAGTCTTCAAAGATAATATTTGACCAGTCACATCTCGTTCCTGCTCCAAAATGTGTACAGCAACGACCCGGGCTGCTTTCGTGTGTGTTTATGTGTATGTACTCATGTTTTCTTTTTTTTTTTACCCTGTGACATGCATTTGCACCTACATATGCATATCTTACACCCATGTCATGCCCACATATCCTATGCCCATGTTTTACTGTAACTGTGTGAAAGAAACTGTGGCTGAGACTGTGTGCTACCTAGAGCAATTGGTTTGTCTTTAGCCCTGCTTTACTCAAAACTTGAGCCTCCAGCTCAAGTCAACAAGGAGTGTTTGTTCCTGATTTGGTAGGTATTTTTCCTCCTTGAAAATGAGTATTTATATATTCACATCAGTAAGCCATAGGGGCTTTCCAGCAGAGATGATGGCAAGACATTAAACAAATTGTGTGCAGCGAGGTGATCATAAAACACAACCCTGTGGTGTCTCACACAGACCTGTCATTAAGGCAAAAAACAACAAATGCGCACACACACCATCACACACCATTCCCAGGCTTTAAACAGCCACAAAATACATCTGTATGCACACTTGTGATCTGCCCCCCTGACACATACACTCACACACATACACACAGTTTCCCCCTCATCATCATAAAAGGTGAAGAATGTTGTGTTTATTTCTCAGTAGGCCGCCATGAATGTGTTCGTGTGAAGGTTTGATCGCCTAAAGCTTTAAAGTTTGATGGTTAGATGGTAGTAATAAGAGCTCAACATAGCCAGATGAACCACGTATGCCTCATTTTATTTTCCACCTATTATAACCTTTAATTTCTGTATCATTATTTACTTCTGCTCTGATGCAAAATAGAGGAAGATGTGGGCCACACATGCACGATAGAGTAGAGTCTACAGATGCAGTGGAAGGCTGTTTTTTAGGTCTGTCACTGACTGATCATTTTCATGGTGACCCATAGTTTTCAGTTTTTAGTGAGACCAAAGATTTACTAAAACATATAACATCTTCCCACCATATCAGTCTGACTGTTATTTGGAGACTGCCTGGTGGCTTTTCCGTATCGCATTAGCCCAGCTTGCAGTTTCTAACAAAAGTTATCCAACTTAGTATTGAAGCAATGTTTGACCACCAAGGCTCTTACATGACCTTAGGAAAAGCTTGTGTCAACTTTATGAGGCAGCAGATTTTAGTTTATCTAGGTATAATATTGGGTTATAATATATGTGTATTTTGGTATCCCTCTTAACGAAGAGGGAAAGACGGGTGAGGAGATGGAGGACGGTTCAGAAGTTGTAGCGGCTGAACAGCGGCTAGAGTAGACGAAGTTAATGAGGGAGGGGGTGAGCAGCTTGTGGAGTAGTTATCGTCCATTTATCATTATCGAGGTGAACTCTTCAATATATTGTGATATTTATTTGAGGTCATATCGTTCAGCCCTAGATAAATTTATCAAAGAGTGCATAAAATTAATTTGTGAAACTCACAAAGCATAAAGTGTGTCTTCTGTTTTTTTTTGCCTGTACTTGTTAAAAGAAAAAATTTGGATAAACAGTGACTTGCTTTGTTATGTTAAAGAATAGACGCTCACTTGATGCAAACAACTAAGTCAATGGCAAGTTGCCAAAAACATTGATTTTGAAATAATTGTATTAATTTATGTATTCACCTTGAAAAAAAGTCTCACCAATTTAACAGTCAGTAGCATTTTCATGGCAATGTTCCTCCTGTTCTTATGGGGCGAATTGAATAGATTAAGGTGGGTGAAACTTCAGCAGGAATATTTATCTTAATATTTCCTTAATCACATCTCCTTCTTGTCAGGGCTTTGCAATGGCACATCATTAAAAATAGATAAATAAATGTCACAACTTGTAATATAAATGCTATTGCTGGTTTTAGTCACTATATTACAATCAGTATCTTAGAGTTGCGCTAACTGACTTTGCTACCTTTGGGCTGAATCCAGTATTGAGGATAATAATATAATATAATATAATAATTGATAAGTAATGTTTTGCAACAGTGTCAACAAGCAAATATGCTGCATGCTGGACCCCGTTCTTGAATTGATTTGATTTGATGTGTGTGACCAGGTTGTCCCTAACATTGATTTTGCTATTAAGAATTGTTGACACCATTGTAATGAAAAATCAAGCATTCAATAATAAAGTATGATGATAAAATATGTGAAAAGATGAGATTAGTAAGAACAGGTGACTATGTGTTGTGTTTTCTTTAAATCCTTGAACCTGATTGTGATTTTGTTTTGTTTAGGATGTTGCCTTGTTCTTAAGAACATTTACCTGGACAAGCAGAACATGTCTCAGCTGCAGCTTCAACGGACAGCAGAGGAGCCCCTTCTGAACATCCAGCAGATGCAGTTCTGGCTGGACAAAGCTGCAACATGGGGCCAGGCTGAGAGCCCAGACCTTCAGAAAGACACCTGCCTGCACTTAAGCAGACTGAGGGATTTCCTTCAGCAACTCCTCACACACATCGAAAGCATGGTGAGTAGGCTATAACTTTATACTCTTGAGTGACATATAAGATGGTCCTAGCTCTTCATTTCCTACAGGCTTTTATGTTTGACAGGGTTGAAGCAACAAAACTAAATTTTTCCTCACCCCTTTTTAATAAAACTTCAACATTTTTTCGAATCTGCATTTTCTTTGTAAAAACCTGCTCCGTGACAGAGTTAATTCAATCACCAGCACGTCTTGTACACACACATGCGCACTCTCAAATATGCATACGCTCACTCTTTGTCAGAGCCAAAGCATGAACAGTACGTCCAACATTGGAAGGGTTGCACTAACAGAGGCTGCTCTGTGCTGTGCAGAGGCTGGCTGGCAGCGCTGCAGTGTTGAGTTAGTCAGGTAATAGCCGCATTGGGACCTTCAGCGCTAACCTAATGTATCCCTATATCAGGTCCAGCAAATTTGGGAAGGGGGCAGAGAACAGGAGGGGTGCGGGACTGTGAGATCTCAGTGTTATTATGTCCTTGACTCATGGCTCCAGCTCTTGCTCCTCAGAACTCTTTTTACAACTACTCTTCTATCACATGATGTATTTTTTTATGCTAGCCTTACAGTCTTTATGCTCTTGCAGTTTTCAGTGATTCTCTATATCCCATATGTTTTACTGTATAACTTTTATTTGGGCAACATTCCATATAGTTTTATAGATTCAGCACCGTCTGGCTGATACTTACCGTATAGTGGTCTGTGTCCTTCTCTGATAGCATAGTATGTCATGTAAAGGTTTCAGCATGTGTAGGATGATGGAGCAGATACAAAGAAAGAGAGAAAGAAAAGCAATAGTATAGCTTAATTGGGCTGGAGTCCTTTTTACTGGCAGTGATCTCATAAAAGACCAGATGAGGATATCCTGCTTCTTGGCAGCATTCAGCATCCTTTGATGACTTCACAACTTTCCCGTGGCTTATGCACAAAGATGAGGAATAGCCTCAACTATTTCACTTCTCCAGGTTTACAATAGGGTTAGATAAGCAAAGGAGGTTTCCCATCTTAATCTTGCACCTCTTGAAAGAAAGACCCAAGTGGGCACGTCAGAAGAATGTGATAACTGGATCATAATGAATCAAGTGTGAACAAAAGCAGTTGACTGATAATTGGGTTTGCAGAAATAACCCCCTTAACCCGACAACATCAACACAAGAGCAGGACTTGGCTGTCCTGACCTTAATGCTTTTTGACAGTTTTTGTTCATTTCAGCACTTATCGGACTATTTTTGGTGCGTTCTGCAGTAACATGATGACAGAAAGGTGCTGATAATGGGTCTTTGTATTTATAGTCTCCCCTGCGGGTGCAGCAGTGCGTGTGACAGCTCAGTGGAAAGTTGTGCTTCAGGTCATTAACAGACAGTCCTCCCGTGCTGCACTGTTTAAGTTCACTTCACGAAAAAAAAAAAAAATGTTTTCATTACCTAATTGTGCTATAAGCTGTTGATGGATAAAAGGGAAAACATCTCAAGTGAATGTAAAAGTTTAAATGATATCGTGGTTATTTCTCACTTTCATTTAGATTTTCTGACAAATAACTGGCACATAAATTCTGTCTGAGAAACATGTTTTTTGGTTTCTAAGATGCATTGTAGATTTTGGAAACAATAAACACCGCTTCATTACTGAGTGCTGAGGCTGAACCCTAGCCTCTCTGAACCCTGGATGCACACTTCAGCAACTTTTTTTTTTTTTTTTTTAACTTAATTGCCTTTGATGCACATTAGCAGGCAATTAACATCACAAAAGAATACAGGAAAAAAAAATCTTGAGATTGGGTCTAATCTGTACAGAAGAGGATAAGGGGCACTGAAAAAAAAACAGGTCTTATATAATTTAAAAAAATATATATATTCTGAGACAAAAGTCAGGAAGTCAGAATATTGACTTTTTAATCTCAGATTATGATTTTTAACTCAGAATTCAGACTTTTTTTGTCTAGTGGCCCTTATCCTCTTCCGTACATTTGGCACATAGAGATAGCACTGTAAGAGGTAGAGCAAATACCTTATCTCGTTCTGTAACTCCAAAACAAAAGGGGTATTTAAGACAATGAAAATAGTAAATGAATCAAGAGTAATGTATAAGAGTCCTAGGCAAGATAATCAATAACTGGGGTCCACCTTCTCATAAAAATAGGTACTTTTAGCTGTAACTAGGCAGTCGTATACTCCATCATGTAAACATGCTACACTTCAATCTCTTATGTGTCTTTGTCGCCAGATGAGACTTGAGTTCCTAACCAAACTCAATCAGTGATATCATGATAATAACTCGTATATCATTTCAGAAACCATTTGACACATTGAATTCTGCTTTTTTAACACTGTAACACTTTGACAAGAAGCCCACGATATAATGGCCACAAACCTAACACAAAAGTATCTGTCATTTTTATATTATTTATATTATGTACTCTTGGCCAAAGGTAGGGTTAAGCTTTTGCTACTATATAAACAAATCGAAAAAAGACATTGAAATACAGTGCACTGTTATCTGTCTGGCACTTGGTCTTTGAATTACTTGAATAAGTTTCCTTGTTAGACTTGTTACTAGAAGGTTGTGATACCTTCAAATCTGTTTCATAAACACACTTTTCAAAATGATCAACTCTTCCATGAAAGTGCGCCTTATGCATTAGCCACAAGGCTTTACATTACCCTCTGTAGAGTTTCTCTCACATTTGCTACACCACATCTCCAAGGGTCTGTTTGGAAAGTCCAGCTGTCCATGATAAGATGAATGCAGGGTGTGGGGTATTCAGCACTGCACTCCAGTGTATATTTATATGCTCACCATAGTAACTTTGCTATTTAGCAAAGCCACTGTGATTGTAGTTTGATGATGTCAGGGACAGAAGTGTTTCCTCACTTTTCTCTCCATTGTTGTTTATAAACCCATATGCCTCACTGGCTGCACTTAATTATTCACTTTTGTTCGACATGTCTCTCTCTAATCAAGACGAGGCCCGCATTTTTTATAATCAGGGACAGTGACGATGATGCAGATCCAGATTTGGCCCTGATAGTCAGCGATAATTACTTTCTGTTGCGATTGCCCATTGTTATCAGCACTTCTGCAGTCACAACACATAAAGTCTATATCATAAATGAACATTCCTGTTAAGTTGTATCACCAACACCCAAGCACAGACTCACACAGTGTTTATGTGTTTCAGGGTTGATAAGCAGGCTGAGTGTAAGGGCTGTGTTTCAGACAGCATTGCTAGTGTTAATGGGGGGCACAGTACGGGCATTTAGACCATTTTAATTCTGCTTCCTGTAAATGGTGACCTTATCTTCCTCTTTAGTGAGTCCAGGTTGTCTCTTTTTTGTCGCATGCTGTTTCTGACACCGTTTTTTAAATTATAGATAATGATATTAAATGGCATAATAATGCGAGTACACCGTGTCAAAAGTGATAAACTTTAATTTTACCCACGACGAAGACGTAACGTTGACGAGCTAAACATAAGTCGGAGATGACTAAAATGTGACGAGACGAAAGTGCGTTTACGTTGATGGGACGAGACGAAAATGACGAACAGAGTTGCAAAACTCAGTCAGTTAAACGCTTAACATATAGGAGCAGCTTAGGTCCTCTCTGACAGCTCTCATCAGCCTGCTGTGCTCCTCCAACACACAGACACACAGGAGCGCGCGCGCAAACACGTGGACTTTTGTGGTTGACGAAAACAAAACTGGTTTAAAGCCGAAATATTCCCACACTTGGGCTGTTGCGTTCGGTTTAGACACCAAAGCTGTCGTGTTCATTCTGTTTGCTTGCTTTTCACTCACTACGCTCACTTGCAGCACTGTATCCAAAAGTCTGTGTCTGTGTGCCTGTGCGCGCCTACGTGTACCTGTGCGCGCGCCCCCCGTGACAAAGACACTGAATGACTGACAGGAGGGTTCACTAACTCCGTTCATTCCGCTATAGAGCCAACGCCCCCAGGTGCCGAGAAAAATGCGCAGAGTGAGACCTCTTCTCTCATCCAGCGTGTTTGGTAGCGAGAGAGGAGGAACGCACGTTAATTATCGAGGCTGGCAAAATGACCGACCTCGTTTTTATTTACCGAGCGATAAGGCGATTTATTGATTATCGCGACAGGCCTAATGGTGACCTTATCTTCCTCTTTAGTGAGTCCAGGTTGTCTCTTTTTTGTCGTATGCTGTTTCTGATCCCACTTGACGTAAGTTATCCTGTTGTAATCTAATGCTGTCGCAAAGCTTTTCCATTCACTTCTTCTATTTTTTTCTCTTTTCAGAGTCCTTCTCATACCTCACATGCACCACAGCACTTCTTCTAATTGTGTTAAAAATGCAACTGTTCAAAATACTTTGAAATTGAGTTATGGGTGAGATGCATTCAAGGATTAGTTTAGGGTCTCTAACTCCAGATAAGCAGTGTGCAGAATTTTCCAAGCAACAAGTGTAGAAAACTGAGACACTCTCCTTACCAGTCTAGTTTGAATAAGAGGTCCTGATTCCATTCTTCAGGATTGAAATAGGGGTTTAAAGTGGATGAAAGTTTTACCTAGTATGACTTTGTAAGAGAGGTAACAGACTTCTAAAAAAGCAATATTAAAAAAAGAACTGCTGCTTTTTAAAGCCCCTCATAAATCCTAGGATTGCAATTTTAAATCACTGTTCTTGTTTTTCACATATAAGGATCATATGAGGTCCTGATCACAGCAGGCTGAATCATCTTTCAAGCATACTGCTTCAATTACAACTGGTTTATTATGTCAGATTTCTTTGTGTGGGCCTCTCCTGCATTGAAACTGTTCTCTTGGCTTTAATTAGCCCTTAGATGAAACGAATGATATAGTCTGTTAATATGGGATGGAAACGAGGTAATACTGTAAATGCACATAAACATGATTCCCGCACATGTGTGCAGAAATGCTTGTAAATGAAAGTAATACATCACCACTTTAATCTGTTTCCTTTGTTCCCCCTCAGTCATCCTATTGTAAAACATCATGTGCTCTGTATCAGTGACTGTATCAAATTAAACCCAAGTAATGAATACATGGAACAAAAATAACGTAATACACCTGTGTATTAACAGACTAATCCTCCTAAAAATATGTCTTTATATCTGCACATAAAGGCATATTCCGGTGTAAATTTAAGTTATGGTCCAACACACCTTAACTCCGAGTTAGAAACCCTGTCAAGAGATAAATGTTGCCGACCGCTTGCTTCTCAAGTTATACCAACTTTAGCAATGACCGCACGATGGCAATACACAGCGGTCTACATCTCCATGCCTCAAACCTCAACCAAAACGCCACTCTATAGCCACTAATAATGTTCAGAACAGCACGTAACTTTATCAACAGTACATATAGGGTCCCAGCCATATTACTAGCCATCAAACATCTTTTTAGCTTTGCCTGATTTCTTTCGCAAAGAGACTAAACACAACTCACCTACTCTCTTCCAGCCTTGATGAGTCGATCACCGAGAGCAGCGGATCATTTCCATGAAGTAATAATCATCATATTAATCATTTTGCACTGTAGACACGGCAGTTCTTCTGCCTTAGCATCTCGGTCCGATTGCATTTCCATGAAGTAATAATCATAAATGTTCTTCCTTGAGCTGCGAAACTCCGCTGCACTCGGTAATCGACTCATCAGGGCTCCCCCTGTTTGACCATAACTTAAATTTACGCCGGAATATCCCTTTAAGTTATTTTTCTTCAGCTTGGTTTAAGTGTTCGATCAACAGAAATGTATTTTTTGTTATGCTTAAAACAACAACAAAACAAACTGGTTATGCTTAACAGGGAAACTTGTTCTACTAATCACTCTTTGCTTGCCGTTTTTGTGGTGCAGTATTCCATTTTAGCTAACGCTGAATGGTTTAAAGACCCCTTCACAAACGGAGATACAAGTACCTCTAAGAGTACTTAAGAGAATTGCAGGAGTCTTTTGTGAAAACCCTCATTCATGCACATTAATCATCCTTGTACATTTTAAATGTGATATTCTGTTTCCAAAACAAACTGATGACTATAATCTGCTGTAAAGAACATAACCAGTTCAATCTCTTTGCTTGAACATTATGCTTTCATGAAGCCAGTTTAATGAGCGTCAGCTTACAGCGAGGGAATTAATTTGTGGTCGCAACATCTCAACGCAGCTTTTAAAGAAGAAGCTGATTTTGTAGTAGACACAGAGCTCAAAAAACACAGTCAGTTTCTAGATAAAAAAGTTTCACACTGTTTTTAAATTTGTTCTTTTTGTGTTTCTTGAGAAAACCATACACTGACTGTGGCCTGCTTTACCTTTCCCCTCACTGTCATCTTTTTTTCCACAAAACACTGGTCGGGGCAGGGGGCACAAAGCTGAAAAAAAGCTTCAAGGGGTTACAGAAAAAAAGTTCAGGATCTACTTCTGTAGATTTTTGTTGTTCATTTCTCAACGAGCTGTGCTGACATAAAACTGGAGTCTCTCCAGTCTCAGATTTTACAACTGAAGGTCCTCTGGGAAAGTCTAATATTTTTCAAATCTTAACGGCAAAAAACTCAGGATTAAAGCTTTTTACGTTCTTAAATACTGTGTCTGCTTTAGCATGAAACCTTCTGGATGTTTTAATTGGCTGTGAGGTGAAATGAATCACATGCTCTGTGTTCCTGACTGAGCAGGATAAACAGGGTCAGACACACACATACTAAAACCTTTACAGGTATAGCACTCATGACCAGAGTCCTGTTCTGCTTTGTGTTCCCCTCACTGTTAATACTCAAGTGGGAATGCTTGCATAACTAAAACAAAGGTGATGCATGCGCAACGCATAATGGAGTGTGCATATGTGGATCTACTTTATTTTTAAAACATAATCCCCAGTCATTAAATAGATTTATGTTTACCTATCTAGAGCCGGTGGTATACAAAGGGATGGGGGAAAGCCACCCTGGTGCCCTCATTTCTGAGAAAAAGCCTTGAAAGTGCTCTCCTGGATGCTCCTATAGTAATGAAAACAACATAAAATGCCCTGTTTGGTGCCCTCTTCATCGACAATGCATTGAACAGCCTCCTGGATGCCCTTCCAGTGGATAGTTTATGAAAAAAGTGCCCTTGGGATACCCTCTCAGTTAAAATTAAGGCAAAAAATTGCCCTTTGGATGCCATTTCAGCCTAATGTGGAAATAAGCCCCCTGGATTTTTTTTCCAGGTAATAAAACATTAAGAAGCGCCCAGAAGTTCCTTTTCCAGTAAACAAAACAAATAAAGATGCAAGATGCACTTTGTGTATTTAATTTTTTCCCTGACTCTGACATCTTTAAAACCTTTTCCACTATTTAATTTAAAACAATGTAGACTGTAAAATCTGCTTTCTCCTGACTGTATGGCATAATCTGTTCTGTCCTAGAGCTCCACAACAGAGACCATGAAGAAGCTACCGTTCCTTGGCCAATTTCTCGGCCGTCTTTGCTGGAATCCTTGTGTCACTGCTGATGGTGAGTTCAGGACAGCTTTAACTTCATCCGTGTTGGACGTAGATCTCAGATCGGGTTTAGAGTAAATTTGATGTCCCAGCCAGGGGTTTTATATTCAACTAGAAATCAACCATCCATATGGAGAGCTAAACCTTTTTAAGTCATCTTTGATTTGATGTTTTTGTCTCTGCAGGTATGAGCAGAAAGCTGTTGTTCCAGTGTCTGTGGGGACTTCACTCAGAACATCCATGCAATGGTGTAGAAAGAAAAGCCAACCAGTGGATACGGGTATGAACAGGACTTTATCCTCCTTTTATATAGGGCACCTAGAGGCTATCATAAAGGCTATTTACATTAGCTTTAACATCAATCCTGAGTCATTAGGTGAGAAATAGAGAGCCTTCGGACGTAATGTGTGAATGCTCCTCTAAAGTCTAAATTGATCCTTTTCACTTAAAAAGCAATTGACTTTATGTAAAGAAGACTGATGCAGACCCAATATGAACACCTCAGTTTATGTTCTTGTATTTCATCTCATTTTACTATAGAACGTGTTTTAAGACTATGTATCCATACTAAACAAAGGGTTATATTTGAGAAATCATGATCAGACATTGTGACAACACATGGCATGATAACAAAATATGAATTTGACATCTTTCGAAAAACTCCACTCTCGACACAGTTTGCTCTAAACCACAGTGGCTTAAGATACAGTTTTGAAAGCAGTAAAATGCACTTAAATAATTGGTTTATTTGCTTCGGGCAATATTAGGTGAACAAGATTCTGTCGCTGCTTTGTCACTCGCTAAGCCGAGCTCACTGGATAGAGCAGAGATTGCGATGTCACATTAAGTCTTTTTTACTGCTTGTGTTGTTTTACTTGTAACGCGGGTTTACACCAAGAATAAAGGCAGAGCCATGTCCAAAGGAAGCTGGAGACCAAAACACTTTATACTCAGTGAAAAATGAGGCTCAGCTCCGCCAGTTCACAACATGATTTAGTTGTAGCCGTATTATCTTCCAGTTGTGCATCGTGTTCCTTTTCTCATATTTCTCAAGCCGGATCTGTTTGCTTTTAATGTCCTTATTAATTCTTGGCTATCATCACTTGAACAAATACTCCTAAAAAGAATCTGTGTTGGCCTGCCTTTGGGCTGCTGAAGAGATTTTCTTTCTAATTTACTTTTAATAGGAGTTCTCTCGCCAGCCCTCTGTGTCTCCTCTCCAACGGGACACGGATGATGAATGAGGTAGATTGGGTCTCTGTTAGTCTAAGCCTTTTGTGCCCAAAACTGTAAAGCATACTTTGAAAGCAAATTAAAATTGACTGTTTCACAGCCTCTTGTCACCAGAGAAGGTTCAGCCTTTATATTTTGGTTAGTTGATCTTGCTCACTGTGTGTTTTTGAGGCTCACACACAAAGGAGGGAACGAGAACAGAGGGAAGAAAAGATTCTGCAATTCTCAACTTTGAGAGGGTTCACACAGATGGCTCATGATAAACAATGTGGGACCTTCACATTTTTGCCAGATTAACTGTGTGTTTGTATTCTTTTGATTAATTTCTCATCTAATAAAACATCTTGCTAATTAAAACAGTGCCTTGAAAGTAAACCTTGAATTTGCCAGATGGTCTTTGACCCAAAAGAGGGGAAGCTGAGTGCAAATGTGCTTGGAAGTGTTTGTGTCTATGGTACGACTGTTATTGTATGGGTAACTGTTTGTATGCCTCCATGTATTGGACTTGTGTGTGAATCAGTGTGTCCAGAAAAGGGAAGCTGCAGTGTTCACCTATAAAGATGTTGAAAAAATCAATCATAAAGGAGTTCTCAGCTCAAGTCTTAATTCATGTTTGTTTTCCTACAGTTCTTGTGAATGACTTGAAAACTGTCATTGACCTGACTTACTTTAAGTTTAAAGGATTATTGTGGTAGGAGGTAAGCAGCAATCATGCAGCAGCATCTAAGAATAATGCTACAGTTATTTCCATAACAGCTGAGATCGCCTCTGCTCAAGAAAATAACTGATATAGAACTCCTAAAGAGTCAAGTTGCAAGTTGTCTATCAGTTACAACGGTAGTATAGCAGTTCTATATGCAGTGAATGGTAGCTATATGCTTCTGTAGATGTAACAGAGTTCACTGGGTCCACTCGTGGACTATATAAAAGTGTCCAAAGAACACAAGTACAATAAACTCACGACCCACTCTGCAGCTTCCCCTCATTCTCCTTTTTCTACCACTCCCCACAAATAACAGGAATGGCGGGAAGTGCAAAAAAACCTACTCACCGCAGCTCATCCCGTCAAGGGGGGGCAGGGCAGATGTATGGTTCTAGGCCAGAGATGGTCTGACAATGTGTGCGCGTGTGTGTCTCTGTGAGTCTGTGTTGTGTTGGACTGCCTGTCCTGGAATGTACAATCGGCCTGTTTTCTGTTAGCTCTGTCTGATCTCGCTCCCCAACATTGTTTTCTTGCTGGATCCCAAATAGACTGAGGGTCTGGTGCTAAGTGGCATCTAAACGCTGTGTGTGTTGTGTGCATCTGCTTACATATGTTTGTGAGCATTTGTGCAAAAGCACACATTTTACTGCTACTGTATATAATGTTAGTAGCCACATGTATTTCCCTTTTTTTATGATAGTGTGCAGAGTATTTTTTCTTTTCTCCTCATGTCTCCCCCTTATCCTCTCTGTCTGCTTCTCTTATCCACATCTGAGTGTTCTCACTGGATTGATGAATGCTGGGTAAAGCCACTTCGCTGTAGGCTATGTCAGATAGTCATTAGCTCAATCGGTCTGTTTCTCTACATCCTGTGCTAGCGGGGAGACCACACAGTGCTGCAGAAACATGGCATAATCCCAGAGGAGATGACAGATAAGTAAAGCATGAGTGTGTAATATTAGAGGGTCGGAGGATGGACAGTTTGATAGCTTCATCTTTGAAGTGTAACTTCACTTATAGAAACAGGTGAACCACAGGAAGGCCCTGGAGCTGCTGAGACAGCTTTGGAGGATATTGGCAGCTACACTTTGTTGTTTTTTTATGATTAATATTTTATTGTATTTTTGAATATTGTAAATTACAAGTTCAAGTGTGCCTAATGTTGTATATGTTGTAAACATTGACTTGTATACAGAAAGTAAAGAAATAACTATATTATACAATGCTAACACTCCAGGAAAGAAAGAAAAATAACCACATGGTAGCAATGACAACAAAAAAAAAAAAAAAAAAAAAAAAAGAAAAGGCCAATACAAGAACAATCTAACAAAAGATAAAACAGGACAGCACGACAGTAAAAAACTAAAAAATAAATAAATCTATTAAAATTTTTAAAAAATACTAATATATGCATAAATATGTGTAAATTTTTTTGTAAGGGAAGAGAAAAAAAAAGAAACAAAAGTATAGCATGTGACATGTTCACGATGCTCAGTGTCGTGTTCTGATTGGTTATCATATCTCCTATACAGGTTCTTTCATACTAGACAGGAATTGTTCCCATTTCAAATTAAAGCTCTCCACTCTGTTTATTAGTCTTTATGATAGGCCCTCCAGTGCAGCCACTCAGGCTAAGTGAGTATGCTGGAGTGGGTATACTTTGTTTTTAATTTCAACTCGAAAATGTCAGTGTGGCAATAAGGTTTTCCCTTTTGGTCTTTATTTTTACTCTGAAAGCAACAATAGCCATGTAATGACATATCTGTCCTGTTAAACTAACTTAGACCCACCTGACCAGAGTAATGCATAACCTGCTCTGACATGTGGCTGTTAAATAACACTAGAACAAAGGGCTGGATGGTGCTGGCTCTGCTAATGTTAGCCACACTCAGCTGCAGCTAGTCTGACTCTGTGATCTCATTTGTAGCCATGTTAGATCAATTGTGATCTTACTGTTTTGTGAGGGTTTTCTCAATGTTGGACTTAGTAAGTTGGAATTTAAATTTAGGTTTGGATTACAATTGTAACATCTCCAGTCTTTCCCTGGCATGCTGTGTTCAAGTGCTGCGATTTTCTTTGAAAACAAAAAGTACAGGACTGGGAACTGTTACTGCTCTAAGGTTGATTGTGACAAATACTGGCACTAGTAAGAAACTGTATCAATGTTTTGCTGTTATACATGATATTTAGTTGTTTTTTTTTAAATGTAAGACTTGTAATTTTTTCTTGATCCAAACAGAAAGCCACAAACAGTCTTCCTAATTATGTACGTCAAAAGCCACAAATTGTTTATGGTCAATAGATTATATCATTATCCTTCCATTTTTGGGAGAAATGCTTTTTTTTACTCATTGGAAATGCTCTGTAAACCCTCACTGACAGTGCGCAGTTTTACCATAATTGCTTCTAACTTCATTACTTTGCGTGATCACTCTAACCTTAACTTGTACTCTTTTTTTCTCGTGTTTTATCTCCCTCCTTATGTTTCTGCTGTTTTGACCATCAGAGAGCATACTTAAGCCTTTCATTGGTTTTGGGGAGAATTCAATCTTGGCTTTGTAATTGTTAACAGGCACCCATCAAAACCAACCAACCAAGTTATTTTGCCTCGTGCATTTTTCTCCATCCTCCGCTTTAATTTTAGATTTATGGAGGGATATTTTCTATGGCAGCTGTACGTCCAAGCCCCCAAAGCGAGCTGGGTTGTTGTTTTTCTGTCAGAGAAAGACGACTTCTGACCTAAAGTATTCGCCGTCCATCTATCCATTTGCCCCTCAACCCATTCCTCTGGTGACCACACCCCCCTTTGCTTGCAGTCATTGCAGTGCACTCCAGTCCTTCTCTGCCATTCCTTCTAACCAGCTTTCCTTCCCCCTTTTACCCCCCAGCTGTCTTGAGCTTCCTTACCAAGGGTGGGATAAATGTGATTGGTTTTGCATGTACTGGATGTGCAGACTTTGAGGGTGCTCAGATGGTAGTGATTGGGGTTGTTTTGTAAGACTATGTGGAGGGTAAGCATCTTAGCGTGCTGTAGGGCCCGGCCAAGGAAACCACACAGCTTCACCAACAGCACTGCAGAGCTCTACTGCCTGGGATCTTGGGTTTTCTCCTTCACTTGTTGTTTTTTATGTCCCTCTTTTTTTTCATGTGGTGCCTCTCTCATTCCCTCTTTCTCTCCTCATCTCCTGTTGATCCCCTTTCATCTGCAGTTTGAAAAGGATTTGTACTTTCTTAGTCTCATGTCAGTGGTCTGGATGTTTCTGTGGTTTTGGTTCAATGGAGTTGTAAAAGAGTGTTCGTGCTGAAGATGTGAGGCCTTGGTTTTTTTTTTGTTGGATCACACTTTTTAAAACATGTACCATCAGATCAACTTCTTAAAGTCCAGCATGAAAGACTGTCTCTAAGGTCCCTAAATCATACTCATACATCTTTAGTAAAGTCATAACACTTAAAGCTCCTCTAATTATTTTTTTTAACATTTATGGAAGTTAGTATTGATGCCTCTTCATGATATCCAACAACAAATAGGACCATCGAGGACAATATTCAAGTTTTGTATATAGTCATTTTTAATGCCTGAAACTGGTGTGAAGGGGTAGCTGTCAGCCGAGCAGCTAGAGAAACAGCCCTTCCTGTATATTTTTAATGTAAAATATTCACAGTAAGTGGCGTACCTGACTGTCAAAAGTTAGCAGGATGACGTCTTTTGTCAATGGACATGATTAAAGCATATAGAGGAAGAGTTTAGCAAAGACTACGTTGTTCACTGGGGGCGCCAAAATTGACAAACTGAAAGTTCCTCATAGTAGCTTTAATGCGACAATGATTAATGGATTATTAACAAACATTAAGCTTATCCAATCATTACCATTACATGCTATGTGGCATCCGTCTTTGTAAACAGAGTCACACAGTGCACACTTTTAAACATTCTCCAATGCCCTTTATTATATGTTTTAAACACAACTCTACTCAAGGGATTAAAACCCAGTCTTATAGCTTAATAACCAACAGTATTAGTCTTGGGTTGCCTCTCTTTGTTCCTTCATTATTCCTTGTGTTTCTCACAGACAAGAATCAGCTGAGTTTATTGGTCTGGTTTTATCAGTGTATGATGAGGCCCCTTCTGAAAAATGCTTGTAAAACACCAAGCCCGTCTGTAACAAAGAATGCTCATTTCTGAACCTGCTCATATGCTGTCCATACATTCTCACTTACTGGAATGCTTTTTCTGCACTCATGTGGTTCAAATGATGTGACGCTGACGGAGTCATCTTATATTCCAGTAAATAATTAGCTTTGATGTTATGGATCTCAGGGTTTGGATAGATTATTGTAAGTCTTATCCTTTGTTTCAGATATGCTCATAAAGTGATTATAATCTGCTGCACATTGTGCTGCCTGCCCTCCCACAGAAAGTGTTTTGCCAGCTTGTCACAGAGGAGGACGATGCTACAACATGCACACTAATAAAGCATGTGGGTGTACCACCAAAAGAGTACCATCTTGAAGTACTGAGAAAGGTATAAGCCATTTAATTCTTATGTTTCTGATTCATCCCTGTATGCATAGTCTCCATGTTATTGTGTCTGAGTTTTAAAATGAGTCCTGTCTTGTTTCAGACGGTGGCGATGCTGCAGGAAAACATTGGGAAGAGCTGCAACTCTTTTGGCGATATAGATCAGAGGTACAATCAGTAGAAACTTGGAATGAAACAAACAACGATCACATGAACTTACAAATGACTGATTAATCTGCTAAATATTTTCTTGACCGGATGTTTGGTCTATTAAAATAATGAATTGGTGGAAAAATTTCACAAGTGTTTCCCAGAGCTAAAAGTTGTATCCTCATATGTCTTGTTCCACTGATTTTATTAACACAATTAAGGATGTTTCAAAGCAAGAAAAAATGTAAATCTGCACTTTCAAAAGAGTAAATCATTAGTTTTTGAAAGCACACCATGATTTCAAGACCCTGTAGGTAAGATGTCTTGCCTTTGGAGAGATTTAATTATCATATTATGTCTGTATAACTCTGCAGGTGTTCCTGTAAACGCATTCTAGCCACATCAGAGGCTTGTGTCCCGCTGGTCACAAGTCCCGAAGCTGCCCCTCTTATTGGTTCACTGCTGCAGCTGCCAATGACTTGTGTCAGGGCCGCACTTAGTGAAGACTTTCTTGATGCTCTCAGCTCTGCATACTCCAGGTTGGCGAACACATAAATGCTCAGTCACACTCTAAGTTGTTTTTCAAACCTGCATTTATTTAATTCAGTGTTTTGTTTGGTTTTATTACAGCCAGTGCTTGTCATTGGAGGAGCAGGCTGTAGTGTCTCTGTGGTATCACAACCTGTCTAGCCTGGAGGAGGCTGTGCTCATGCTGATGGAGAGTGTTCTCAACAACACAGAATCAACACCGCAGAGGCTGGAGCAACAAGTGGCACAGTCACTCCTGGTGGGTAATGATATGTTTAGGAAAGACACATCAAGAAGAGTTAAAGTCCCACTCCAATCATTTTTTATACTACTTCAAGTGTTCTCAGTGGTCTTTAAGTTGTGATTATAAAGTTTTTAGCCAAAATCACATTACCTGTGTCATTTTCAAGAGCTTTTCTTCTGCAGAGCTACAGTAGCTCATTAGCAATTTGCCTCTTGAGTCGTGGGCTAGCTTGCAGCCTAACATTGATGAAAGTTAATGTAATAATTTGCTTTCTTACGAGCATTGCAAACCGCTAACACACGCTTGTTCCGTGATCGTCCTCTCTATTTCTCAGAGTGTGGCTCTGGGGGCGGAGTTTGGATTTGTTACGTAGGAAATCCCACTGTATCTAAACCTGCAGTTTGGATCTGCCAGAGAGTCACAGCAATTTGAATGCAGAAATACTCAGAAATGCAATTTCGCACTTAATTTTCTCATGATACATCCTGTAGCATCAAAAAAAGGCCATATGAACATATAAAAAACTAGAAAAACATTATTTTTCATTGGAGTGGGTCTTTAAGCAATTGTAACAAAAAATTCTGTGCAGGTTCGGTCCTTTAAAATTAACACCTTAACACCAATTTAAAGGCTTAAATAATGAGCATAAATCTCTAGAATGTAGTTTCAGACTATTGCTTATCTTCATTGTGGACTACTGAGTAGATTTCCCTCTTCAATTAAGCCTAATACTACAATACAATTCTATACTACTATAGATACATCCATGCACAACTTCTATATGTTGGCATGAACATCAAAGTGAATAAGACAGCCGAGCCAAAAATCAACACATTGTGATAAATCTAAAGAGTTTAAATTGTGATCAGCTTATATAAGATGGCATTTACGGTGTAAGAGTAATCAACCTCCATGTGTAACCCTCTAAAAAAGCCTGAGTTATGTTGAATTTGGAGAGTAACGTGAAGAGTGTTGTGACACTGTAGTTCAGTTTTCGACTATTATCCTGCTGCGTGAATTGGCAGCATTTCGAGTGTTGATAAATTGGTGACATATTGCTGCTGTTAAATGGATTTGTTTTGTGCAGAGTTGGATTCATATGCCTTGAATTACAGAGTCTCACATCAGAAATCTGTATACCTCATGTATGTTTTGCTCCACTTTGAACTGCTTTGTAAACTGTGAAACCAAACAGTTTGGATATACGGCCTGCTCATTTTATCACGATGGACTGCGTCGTGATGTTTGCATATGCATAGTTTTTGGAAGCGTTCCATCCATTTCTTTTTTGATGGATCTTTATTGACTGTTTTTGCCCGGCCAGCTCACACCATTTGGCTTTTCTGTGCATGCATCTCACATCATTTGGCTGGCCCTAAACTGCATCTCACATCATTTGGCCTGTGCTACACAGCCTCGACTGTACGGAGTAAGTACTGAACTCTCTGTCATAGAGTCCACAGCAACTCCTCACTTCGTTTAACATCAAGATCGTGCCCCGTTCAAAAGTCAGCAGTGATTTTGGATTTTATAAAACAGTCGAAGAACAAAATAATCCTTTTGGCCGTAAAGTTGCTTTTTGTTTTCAACAACTTGGACTGTATGGGAAAAATTTAAGCCATTACAAGATCAACAATAGAATAAATAATTATGTCACTTTTTGCACTAAACAGTTCAAGAAAAGTTTGACAAAACAAATGAAACAGATGCAAAATGTCTGTCAGAATTAAGTGGTACCTGCAGTAATTCTTTAGAGGGGGGTAAAACATAAACAGGGAAGAGATGATTAATCTATGTCGACATGATTTCTAAGGATTGTTTGTTCCAAATTATGCAGCTAGCAATAAGATACCCTGAACGTATACTCGTGAATGGCATCCTGTTTACTTCAGTTACTGATTGCTTTGCCTTTGGTCGTTATGGATGTAAGGGAAACTGTTGTGAGAAACAAGAGGTAACTTGCCATTCGGCCTCATGTGAGGTGAAGTTAGGTGAAGTTTGTCAGTTGTGTCATTGCTGTTTTCCAACAGTGATGGTCCACTTGAGCTGTGCACAACACAACTTGCTAGTGCTGCATACTCCTTCACTAAAAGAGCAGTTCTGGTGTACATAACTAACTAACAAAGCATGAGGAGGAATTCGCCTGCCCGTCTGTTGTACTTGATTCCATCTTCTCGAGTTTGTAGGAGCTGACATGTTGGAAAAAGGAGCTCTGAGGACACTTGAATGAACCATTTGTTTGTTCGTGTGGAAGAAAGAGACCCATGCAATCATCGACTGTTTATTTCTCTTTTTTGTCATTGAAGTATTTGTTTACCATTTCATCTATTTCTCTGTTTTTATCACCTAGCTAGCTGACATGCACATGAACGCACGCGAACCCCAACACATGTGCCTGCAGCCACTGTGCTTTGTTTATGATTTTGCATCTGGTATAGTGTGTCTATCGTTAAGAGGCTGGGAAGTATACATTCAGGTTTCGCTCAGCCTTCAGGATGTTTGGATGTCAGATGTGCCTTTCACATGTGTGTCTGTCTGTGTCTGATGCAAACATGTGTGGATAGAAAAAACCCCAAAAGGCGTTGTATCCGACTGGCTTGTCCCTCTCCTCGCCTCGCTTTCACTCTCTTGTTTAAAGTGCAATCAAAAATGGGAAACATGAAATTAGACTTACATTCCTTGTTTTGACTGGTCCCGCCCCCCTGTGATCCAGTGAGAGACAAAACCCCAGTAACAATAAACACTCACTTCCTGGGCCTTACTGCCAAAAACAGGATGTTTGTTGTGTGCTGTAATTGACCCTCCTTGAAGTGTTAGTGGTAAGGTATGGAGGAGGGCGCTCAAAAAACCCCATCTGTTTTCACTAGGGGAACCATGACAGTTTGCACACATGCATGCGTGCTGGCATGCAACCCACATATGTAGGATCTCACTGACATACTGAAACCGTATGCCACTTTATTGCTAATGCTCACAGTACAGTTACAAGTGAACCTCCACTTTGTTTGATTAATGGTGTTTTCTGACCTGAGAGGCAAAAGGAGAAACAGACATTACCAAACTGAGGATGAAAGCAGTTGAATTGTGTAATGACATCACATAAACACTAGGTGGGGCTCTTATTCTTACTGACCTAACTGTGACTGACACCTACTCTGGTGCTTATTTAATTTTCTCCAACCAGTTTAAAGTTATTTGACATGTGATTCACTCATTTTTTAACTGCTGGTATAAATAGAAGGTTATGGATTGACTGAGTGTGAATTAAAAGTAATAGGCTGTTTATGATTTCTAAAGTAGGATTGAAGCCTTTAGACTACACGTGCTCCCTCTGTAGTGAGGCATATGTTCTCATGTATGGGCACGGGGTGGTGGAAAGAAAATAATTAGGGACCAGAGAAGATATATAAACATAAGGAGGGAGGCAGTCATGAACAGTACAGCTGTTAAATGTTTGCGCTGGGGCGTTTTAGAATGTGTTAAATCTAAAACACATGATGAGCGTGCATTAGGAAGAGATGGGTAAGAGTGTATGGGTAAGTGAGGGGAGGATTTGACAAGAGTGGTAAATTGAGTAGCTGATGGGAAGAGAGTGAGAACTAAGAGAAGAGGGTAATTTGTAGTGATACAACAGTGACACCCAGTGGTCAGTATTTGGAGGTTAGATTTGTGTATCTCTGAGCAGTTTGAAATAAAAACTTGATGCTTGTCTTTTTGTGTCTTTCAGCCTAAAGCCTGTGCTCAGCACTGCATTATTTTCTTGGTTGTAAACGACATCTTCAGGTAAGAGCTGTGGTCTGTGTGTGTTTTTTTAATTTTTTGATTAACTTTTTACCCCCACTTCTAAGACTAATCACACTCCGCTGTATCTGTATATACATATTTTGTCCAACTATTTATTTAATAACTGAACATATTCCTACTCATACTCCTAAATATCGTACAGTTTATATTCTTCAACACGACCACTATTTAATAGCATTGTCTCTTTTTCACATCTGCACTAATCAATATACTGTATATACAGATAATGTACATAATTAGATATTAAATTTTTTTGTATAGCCTATTCATACCTGCAGTAACCAACACTGTGTATATTAGATGCTAAACTGCATTTTGTTGTTCCTGTACTTGTACTGTGTTCAATGACAATAAAATTGAATCTAATCTAATCTAATCTATTGGGTTTTGCAGATGAGTATCATTGTATTAAAACATTTACTAAGAGTGAACTAGTCATTTTTTTCTTATAGGAGAAACAAACAACAGAAAACAAAAGTGGTCATTGAAGTGTATTGCTGCGTACCCACACAACTCATAAAACTAGAACAGCCACTAAAAATAAAATAAAATAAAATAAATGATTTAACAAACAGGAAGGACCAGGACAGAAATAGAAATTTAAAAAAGAAAACAGACAAGGGGGAACAAAAGACACACAGGTACATCAGTCAGGTAGCAGTAAACTGCAATTGAGATAGCAACAGACATCCTAAATCAGAGTAGCGGCATGTTAAACTCAACATGACAGAAATAACATTTTTACCTCTCTAGGTTGCTTTGTGTGTCGTTTTCTATTGTAGACTACATGAGTATAACTTTATCTATGTGAAATTCTGTTGATGTGAGTCGATTACACTACACTTGTGGATTTGTTTCTGCCAGGTCCCTCCTGAAGCAAGCTGAAGGGATCGAGCTCATTAAGTGTCTAATCCAAACCTTTACCAACCGTTTCCTCAGGGAACTGGCACAGCAGCAGTGTCAGGTATGCCTGGACAATATAACAAGAGATCCAAATATACTGAGGAATACTTTTCTGTGATGGACTGTGACAATTTTGAAATAACTGGTAACTGATTTGACCAAAACAAAGATATAATCACTGATGCGCTTTTCATTTTATCCGACCAAGAATCCAAAATCCTCAGATGTTTCGATTTATATCATGAAAACTGAAAAAAGGCAGCTGAATTGTTTGTGGAATAAGAAAGTTTTGCTTTATTCTTGAAGATCTTTAATGGCTGGTAAAACTATGATCCACTGTGCAGTGAAATACAGGCTTATTTTCAGGTGATTAAAACTAACATACTCAACTCTGATTGTGCACAGTCGACTCTACAGAGTTGATTTTGATGCTGCAGTTTAAATCATATCCTTGATTGGTGTATCAGGGAGTTGAAGCACCTTCCCCTTCAGTGTTCAGTGCGACAGAAATGAGAACTGAACCTGTGGTTTAAAATAGCAACCCAATTCTTCTAATCCCATGTCTTTGCTAGGAATAAAATAATGCTTACTGCGGGCTCTGATGCTCACATGGGGAGCGGAACAATTAGCTGTTCTTTGCAGGCGAATTCACTCAACATTTCATGAATCTTCTACATCATTATCACTAGATCTCCAGCGGTGAGCTCGCTGCTTACACATCACAAAGGCCTCTGCAGTGTAGATGATGATTGCTTTTAAATGATCAGTTTGTAGTTGATAACACTGTTCAGTTGTAACTCTTGTTATATTAAATTTCAATGGTACACTGATGTGCACTTTTTAATTTTTGCCAAACCGTCAATGCTAATGGGTCTTCTGAGATAAACACAAGTCTGTTGTTGTGTAGGAGACCCCCGTCATCACTAACACGTCAGCCATTAGTGTCAAAAGGTAAAAAAAACAAATGCGTAGTGGCACAGGTGTGATGTATAACCTGCTACACGGTCTCATGAATATAGCTCAACTCCTTTTCACCTCTATTAACCAGTAGATGGCAGTACTTCCGTGTGTTTACAGAGAGCCCGGTTTTAATGGCTGTAGTCACACTGCACTAAACGCTCCCTATTACATGCTACATTAGACACTAGCACCTCTTGTATCACCGCTACACAGCCTCCTAGTCTAAATGTCATTTTTCAAGCTTTCAGAGCTCAGTGATGTATGAGTTCAAGGTAAGTATAATTTACATTCGTGGGGCTAAATTTGTACTCTGTGTTGCTTCAGGCGAGTGTTTCTCTGAAGGCCTGGTTCCCACAGTCACCTCAGGGACTGCTTGTACCCCTCTTGACCCTGCCGTCAGGTCAGTGCATACATCCACTTTTCCATGCCTGTGTGTGTGAGTGTGTGTGTCCTCCTCAGGATATTTCACTCTCATATAATGCACAAAACCCTGTATTGTCTGAATGAGTCTTTTCAGGTATTTTTTAACTGTGTGTCAACAGAAATTTCCTGCTGCAGAGTGAATGGGCTCCTGTGCACTCGTTCTTAATAATCAATTATAGTTATTCAACAACCGTCTCAAGTGTTTTACGACGGATGTAAAAGTTGGCAGTCTAAAAATGATTAAAGGCGATGATTTTTTATGCAGGCATCAGTTATTTGGATGACTGGAACCATCGGTGATTTGCACATGTACTAATTCATGTTTCCTCCTTTTAGAGAATAAACATTTTCATCTTTCTGAATGAATTTTACAAGTGTTTATGTGTGGGAAAATTTACCATTTAAGGGGGCGCACAGTAGGCAAGGTGAGTGCAGGGGCACAGCAGAGCACTGCTTATCAGTGTGTGCCCAGACTGGCCTGTAGGACAGCAATGATTTACATGAATGGAGCCATTTGGGGACACACTGGAGCTCAGCCAGAACTCCGGGTTAATTATTACCGTGCATGTGTGTGCGTATGTGTGTTCTGGAAGCCGGTTTTTCACCTGAGACTGGACGGAAACGATACAGTGAAAAGTTAAGGATAGGAAGTTTTATCATGATTTGTGCTTCTGCTTAGAAAAGCTGTTCATTAAGTGTTAAGATTGCATTGTTAAAACACAGCCAGAGGGGAAGACCTGAATCAAGATACCAAGTGTATGGAATATTTTTTTCAGAGTTTGTTGTCAGCCTGCAGTGTCAGTTAGATTGGATTTTAGTGCAAAATGTGGTTTGTGGTAGGAAAGTTATTTTTGGCAGAACAATGTGCCATGTGAGAAACACCACACTGGCCCTTTGAGTAGTTAAAGATAATGGCTGGAAACAGGAAAATGTAATTCCAAGTTCTTATAGTAGTCGATCCAATCCTGCTAGGAAAATTCTTGTGGTTGATGTTTGTAAAGTTGTCATTTAAAGATAGTTTAGACTGCAGTCAATTTAATACATCTTAGTTTATTCTTATGAAAAATAAGCTCTCTGTTTTTTTTTATGCAGACGCCTCAATTACATCCAGACAGTAATAAAGTTGTTTGAATTATCTTAGTAGAGCAGCAAGAGAAGAAAAAGAAAGACAGCGAGAATTTTCTTGGGCTTCAGGAAACTGATTGACATTTTCACTGTGTTTCAACATTTCATTGTCTAAAAATGAACTCTATTGATAAGTCAGGTTACAATAAATGAATTATTGATGTGTTTATTTGATCTTATATAGTTTGTGGGTAATATATCTAGGCTCAGAGTAGGGCTGGGCAATAATCCGAAAATTTACAGACACCAAAATGTACTACAATAACCGATGCCATTTTGCCCATGTCAGTATATTCCGTGTCAAATAAATATATAAATGAAAGTGGGTTTTGGATGTATGTAGGTAGGCTATGGTCTCATGTCCCTTTAAGACTCTGTCCTACGTCGGATACGTGACTCCACCCCATCCAGTCTGTAACAAAGAGGGAAAGACAGGTGAGGAGATGGAGGACGGTTCAAAGGTTGTAGCGGCTGAAACGGCGGCTGAAGTACACAAAGTTAATTTGGGAGGGGGTGAGCAGCTTGTGGAGTAGTTATTGTCCATTTATCGTTATCAAGGTGAACTGCTCAATATATATCGTGATACTGATTTTAGGCTATATCGCCCAGCCCTAGATCAGAGTAAGTGTTGATGTCACTCTGTGAGTAGGTAGCAACCATATGAGACTTTAAAGACTGGAAAAAAAGTCCCTCAGCCTTTTGGTTTGAGTTGATCTTGTTGTATTTATTTTCCCTGTTTTCAGCTTTTGTGATGACTGGTTTAAGCTTCATATTTTTCATACAGATTTTTAAGAAATGTGATAATATTAACAGTTTAGCTAGCTTTCTTTGAATATTGTGCGTATGAACCAACTGTAAAAAGTGCATGTACAGCTTACAAGTGATCATTATGTCTGTGTCTGAATGTGCTCTTTCAGAGATGCCTCAGGAGGCCTGGAGACGTCACCTGAACTGGCTCAGCAGCTCATTACAGAGACTGACAGAGGAAGAAGAAGAAGATGGGGAATACGGAGAAAGCAGCAGTAGCACTAGTTTAGAGTGAGAAAGTCTTGTGGGGAGAAAGTGTTAATGTGTGTCCGCTCCCACCGCCCTACTGACTGCCTGTGTGGTGCTCTTATTTCCATTAGCCACTTTTGAGGGGGTGGTTAGTCAGATATTTTCCCCTAGCATCACAGCAGAGAAGTCCTGGTGTGCTGTGAGGCTTCTCCAAGCTCTCATTAGAGGCTATTAGCTTGGGAAAGAGAGATCTTTGGAGAAAACAAGTGTTAGAAAACCCAATAAGAGTGAGGAGAGAAATGAAGCAGAAGAATCAAAGAAACCAGACAGAGGAGAAGATGCTGTATTAACATGAAAAGCTAAAAATCGAGCAGTCGTGGTTTGATGGATTTAGAGAATAAGAGGATAGAGGATGCAGATGAAAAGCACAAATCTGTTGATGTTGAAGAGATAGAGACGACTGACGCGATACCCTACAGCTGCGGTTTTTAACAAGGCCCATTATCCCCACCACTGCTCTATTCTGGAGCTCCATGCAAAATTCCCAAAACATCGTTCCGAGCCAGCGGTAGGAAAGTAGTATGTTGTGTTGCTCCTAGTTAAGACGCAGCTGCCAGAGCCCTGCAGCAGGGTGCTGCCGCTGCTGTCTGTATTTAGAAGCCAAATGGAAAGAAGGAGGCTGAGGAAGATAGCTGTAATGATGGTATTAGGGAAATATGAGAGAGAGAGATTTAAATCGATCCTCCATCTTCAAGTCATCGTCTCATTGTTGCAGCTGTGTGTCTGTTTCACTCTGTACCAGATTCTCTTTTCAGTACACATCCCATTTTTACATCTCACAGTTATTTATAACTCTTAAATCCCTTTCCTCTGACTCTCTTTACTCATCTTTAGGGGCTGCAACTAACAATCATTTTCATTATTGATTGACTAATTTATGAATTTTTTATGGGATGAATTATTACCGCTCAATGTCACAACTGGGAACAACTAATGAGATTCAGTATCTAATTCTGAATCAGATCTGTATAGAAGCTTGTCTGTGTTTGATCATCCATTGTTCCTGTCAGTGGGAGTGGGTCTAATATTCTGATATCCACGACTGTAGGTTATTAATAAAGCTCTCATGATGTAAATTACCACTCCCAGCCCTATGGGTCTGAGTGAGACACTGGAAACTAAATCATTAAATGTATACCCTGAAAAAAGCTCCATACACTGACAATGTGTTAATTTATCTGAAAGTATTGACATTACTCTTTTTCTTGAGGCAATTTTTAATCTTTGGAGAAAATGATTTATAGTTGCTATTTTTGTGAGGGACTCCTGTGTATATTCACAGACATCCTTTGGAAACACTGAGGCTGGGATCATGTGTTACATGTCAAGCCATTTAGAAACTTAACAAGATCACTGAACTAATCCTGCTTTTTAGATATTCAACCCTCTTCATAAAATTGCTGGAATTGTATTGACTTCTTATGAAGTTGAGTACAGAGAGATTAAAAAACAAAAAAGATAAATGCTGGTTAACTGTGAATCTTCGTCCACTTATCAAGGGCAAAAGATGGAACCAAAAGTCCTGGAGAATCATTCATCTTGATTTTGCTGACAATGTTTTGAATCAGTATTCGCTTCCCAAGTTCAAGAATTTATTTTTAAGTCTATTTTAATCACAGATTTGGATATGAATGTCTTATTTCCATTTTCCAGCATGTGCTGATGTAATTAGGTCATCTGTTGTGCTTCAGTGTTTTTTTTTTTTTTTTTGTCACATATTTTCATGAAGAGAATGATTGATCAGTTTTTCTGTAGTGATGAGCCCTGTTCCTCCTTTTGTCCTCTAGGGGGCATCACAAAGTCTTTGAGGCCTGGTTCCTGCTGGTTCAGTGTGCTCACTGGGTGCAGGTGGCTGCTCAGCTACTTGTGACATCTGGGCCTGAAGACATTGGCCCCCTCCTGTGGCTGCTGACCTTCTACCACCACCCAACCAACGGGGGCCATCAGAGGGGACTTCAGCTGGTAAGATTATTATTGTTTTTAATTTACATTCTTTGACCTTATTCATTTTAGCCATGCTTGTCTTTATGGATTGCATTATGTGTAAGTCCACAGCTTTGGTCCAAAGCAGCTTGTTTGATGTAAAGGATGGTAGCTAGACCTGTTTTTAAACTAATTAGACTAACTAAACTAATGCAATTTTTTTAGACTAACTTCACGGAATGGTTCCTTATTTCAGTGGAGTTGTGTAAGGTTCTTGTCAATAGTTATTTAAATAGAGTAAATAAAAGCTAATCCTTAACTACTACAGAGGGGACCAAATCTACCCTGTGGTAATTGGTAAAGCTAATTTTAAGTAACTCCATCTCAAACATGAATGTCGGTCGAAGTATAGGCTCAGTTTGAACATTTTTAAGCATTCATTCTCCGCTATTCTTGAGCTCAACACATTACATGTTTCTCTGCCTGCAGTGTTGGACATTTTTGCGTCTTAGTTTGCTAAAATGCTAAACATTGTCTGGCCGACAGTAAGGGCTGTCGAGTTTGTAATCTCAATTCACCTTTCCCCCTTAACAGCTAACACGCTGTATAGCATAGAGATATTGTGTCATCCATGGGTGTGTCTTAAGCAAACAAATAATACTTGGAAACTTGGCGCACGGACGCAGTTCGGCATATCTGTTTTTCTGGTTTAGCTTCTTGAAACTGATGAAAGTTGGTAAAACAGCAAGTTAAGGGAGCACTGATTTGTTAGTGATATAGTCTGCAGCATAGACTGTATATAAGATGGACAACCTGGTTCCAACTTTTGCCTGTATACGGATTTGAAGCCAAAAAGCTCTCGGTAATTCCGGGTTTTTCTCCACTTCCTTGAAACCAGAGCTGCGCAGTAGCGATGCGCGCATTCGGCCGCGCAGTCACCGAGAGTCCCTGTGATGACGCTCGGCTCAAACAGCGTATCCCCCCGGGAGAGCGACGCAATCCCTGAACGCCCATAGGCTGTATCAGGTGTCAATCATAGAAAACATGAACCCCCTAATAACTTTTAAAAACGGAGCTGTACAGAAAAAAAAGGACTTGGGCACAAACCAGTCTTACAGTAACTACATGTCAACATCACAAGCAGGGGGGAGAAAAAATTATGTTCTGTGTAATAAATTTCTAAAGTTTGTCCACAGTCCCATAAGCTTTGCTGGCGGAGGCGGGATTTATGACCTGTACTGCAGCCCACCATCAGAGGGTGCTGTTCTCGGAGTGGCTTCACCCAGCGAGGAGGCAGACTCTGTCCATCTTATATACAGTCTATGGTCTGCAGTTGTTCAAAACGAATGAGCTTTATGACGGCAGAGTGGTGAAAAATCCCTGAATAATGTAAAACAGACAGTAGTGTTTGAGTCAGAGTTTATTCAAATAAGGTAAATTAATTACAAGATAGAGCTACCCTCTGTTGTAGCTGACAGGAATCCCCTTTGGGTAATACAGGTACTAATGATAAGCACCTCATGCAACCAGACTTAAGAAAAAAACAATCTGTCCCTTTAAGTGTGATTTTTTTTGTCTGATGATTTAGACTTCTGGAAATGAAGGGAAAATTAAAATAAGATATTTTGAGCTAAAGCTACACATGATGCATGTTACCTCACCTCTAGCTAGACTGACCGATTGACATTGTTCCAAATAGACTATCACAAGTTAGCTACAGCTTGCATTCATGTCTGTTTTTTTTAGTCAAATATAGTTATTTATTGTTGAAACTACAAAAAAAGTACTATTCCTTATTTCAAAAACAGACCATTGCAGGTTTAAGGCTCTCTCAAACTGTCTTCGTTTACCAGGCCAGATACGTCCGATTATATCAGCCCCAGCTGTGGTTATTGTTTAGTTAGCAGCTGTCAGAGTGCTTGATAACAACTGAATTCTAGTATTATTGGTGTCTTCTTAGCATTACGTTTATATCACCACTGCTCCTCTATGTCAGCTTAACGCTAGGTCTTGTATTTTTAAACCTGTTTTGTTAGAAATCTGTTTGACATTTTTTTGAAGTTTTTTTGACCACAGCTTTGGAAACATCGCTGCAGCTACCAGAAAAAAAAAAATCCACACACACACACACACTGAGTTTCAGCTGAAGAGGCATGTCGGGTAGATACTAACCCAGTTAGTCAGTCTGAAGACTGTGCAGCATCATAACTCTACAACATAACAGCGCGGCTGCTTCATGGTTATTTGCCCCTGACAGGTCAGTTGTCATTGAAGGCATAGAACAAATCATGAGACAGAAGAATAACACATGAAATAAATTATGGATGACCTCCTAACTGAGAGGAGAGAATGAGACAGTGGCCACAAGAGAGAGAGAGAGAAAGGGAGGGAGAGAGAGATGAAGGGGGAAGCAGGGTGAGGCGGGTGATGTAGTATTGATTTCTCAGTGAGTGTCTGGCCAGCTGGCCTGAGTTTCATCTCTCTGTCTCCTGTTAGTCCGCCTCCTCTCATAACCCTGGGAGACTCGCTGCCGTCGCCACCATCTTTCCCTCTTTCCTTTCCTACTCACAGGAGTTGTCTCTGTTCGTCACTTGTGAATTACTACTTCATTGATTCTTATTTGCAGGATAGATGCTTAGAGAAATACCTCTTGATTCCATTGATGTCCATCAATAACCATGTCAGCTAACATTAAGTTGATCATGTGACCAATTGTCGTTGTTTTGTTTTCCAGGTGCGTGTCAAAGAAGCGTGGGACCACCTGCACTCCACTTTTATCGTCTCGGCTCCTCCTTTTCCCGTTGAACGCCTGCAGTCATTGATCGCTCTGCTGTCGCCACAATCTCAGCAGCCGACATCGTTTATTCTCAGCCTTTTAGTCAACTTTGCTGTTTTCTCCCAACAACCGCTGAGTGGATCAACTGAGATTTTTCAGACAGTACGGACGTGATTTATTATCTTTTCCTTTAAGATATGTTCTTTGATTCTTTTTTTCCCCCAAATTCATAATCCTAATGTCCAGTGGTTAGACAGCCATAAACAATAAGTAAATTCACACATTAATGTGTGTCATTGCAGGTTTGTGAAGTGCAAGAAAGGTTTGGTCAAGGCCTAGATGACTTGTGTGAGGCCTCTTTCTTAACTGAAACAGCAAAATATAATAATATACACTCGCCGGCCACTTTATTAGGTACACCATGCTAGTAACGGGTTGGACCCCCTTTTGCCTTCAGAACTGCCTCAATTCTTCGTGGCATAGATTCAACAAGGTGCTGGAAGCATTCCTCAGAGAGCTTGGTCCATATTGACATGATGGCATCACACAGTTGCCGCAGATTTGTCGGCTGCACATCCATGATGCGAATCTCCCGTTCCACCACATCCCAAAGATGCTCTATTGGATTGAGATCTGGTGACTGTGGAGGCCATTTGAGTACAGTGAACTCATTGTCATGTTCAAGAAACCAGTCTGAGATGATTCCAGCTTTATGACATGGCGCATTATCCTGCTGAAAGTAGCCATCAGAAGTTGGGTACATTGTGGTCATAAAGGGATGGACATGGTCAGCAACAATACTCAGGTAGGCTGTGGCGTTGCAACGATGCTCAATTGGTACCAAGGGGCCCAAAGAGTGCCAAGAAAATATTCCCCACACCATGACACCACCACCACCAGCCTGAACCGTTGATACAAGGCAGGATGGATCCATGCTTTCATGTTGTTGACAAATTCTGACCCTACCATCCGAATGTCGCAGCAGAAATCGAGACTCATCAGACCAGGCAACGTTTTTCCAATCTTCTATTGTCCAATTTCGATGAGCTTGTGCAAATTGTAGCCTCAGTTTCCTGTTCTTAGCTGAAAGGAGTGGCACCCGGTGTGGTCTTCTGCTGCTGTAGCCCATCTGCCTCAAAGTTCGACGTACTGTGCGTTCAGAGATGCTCTTCTGCCTACCTTGGTTGTAACGGGTGGTTATTTGAGTCACTGTTGCCTTTCTATCAGCTCGAACCAGTCTGGCCATTCTCCTCTGACCTCTGGCATCAACAAGGCATTTCCGCCCACAGAACTGCCGCTCACTGGATATTTTTTCTTTTTCGGACCATTCTCTGTAAACCCTAGAGATGGTTGTGCGTGAAAATCCCAGTAGATCAGCAGTTTCTGAAATACTCAGACCAGCCCTTCTGGCACCAACAACCATGCCACGTTCAAAGTCACTCAAATCACCTTTCTTCCCCATACTGATGCTCGGTTTGAACTGCAGGAGATTGTCTTGACCATGTCTACATGCCTAAATGCACAAAGTTGCCGCCATGTGATTGGCTGATTAGAAATTAAGTGTTAACGAGCAGTTGGACAGGTGTACCTAATAAAGTGGCCGGTGAGTGTACAACACTGATGTTAGCCATGTTCCCATTTAATGTACCAAAAACCGCACTTGATTATCAAATTAAACAGATTATAAATAAATTATAAATATAAATCATTATTTAGAGGAAAAACACTCATAGCTGACATTTTCAAGCTTTGAAAAACGTTAAAATCAACCAGCACTGACCTTTTGTTGCTTGTTATTGTTACATGACAATGTATTGAAGCCTTTTTGAGTTTTAGCCAATTGGAAACTTTCCAACTCAAACTGTTTTAAGGATTACAGTTTAACCAGGCTGAGGTTTTGGGACATAATTGTAGATTTACAATAAGCCGCATAATAAATCAAATCTAAATCCTGATCACAATTTTGGCCCTCTCAGGATTAAATAACCATGTTTGACGGTCAGATTCATATTATAAGTGTATGCTCTACTGGTAAAAACCTCTGCTGAATCAAACTGATTGACTAAGCAGCTGGTCTTCAGTTAAGAAAACTGAGAACAACCCTTATAGCAGAGCTGCACATGAGATGAGTCTGTGGGTTAACAGTGTCGAATTGAAAGCTAGTGGGGCAAGGTAGCCACACTTTAAAAACCAGACGTCCCTGCAGCTCTATATGCATGTGCTTCTTACACATTGTCCTCATTGAGTAGTTATTCGCCAGATTAACCAGACATGCTAGACTTAATTTTCTACATCAGAATGCTACTAAAACATGTTGCGCTACATGATACCATCTATGTGACGTGCTTGTTTACATCCAGGTGGTACAGTATTGAAGCATTTTAGTTGTAGCCATTAACCAGAGTAACAGTCATGGCTAGTAGCAGGTTGCTGTGACCCATTATATGATTGTCTATAACTGAATGGGCTGAATAGTAATGTGAAGTTGTGTAGTTTTTTGCTCATTTCTTACCCAGTTATATCAGAAATGGAGCTGCTAGTAATAATACCAACGTTGTTCAGTTCTGGAAAGATTTTTGGCTTCAACCCACATCTCTTTGTCTTTGTCTTTGTGTGTGTGTGTGTGTGTGTGTGTGTGTGTGTGTGTGTGTGTGTGTGTGTGTGTGTGTGTGTGTGTGTGTGTGTGTGTGTGTGTGTGTGTCCATGCAGGTGGTGGACGGGTCTGGTCTGGTTGATGAAGCAGCGAGTCTTCTCAGCTCACTGGAGCTCAAACTGAACGGAGGAAGCTGTTTATCAGGCGATGCTAACAGAGTTCATCTCAGGATCAAAGCTCTTCAACACACACTAACACGTATGCACACAGCAGCGAGCCATGCTGAGAACCCAGCACACACTTACACAGTCTAAAACAGGTGAGAGTGCGCGTACCCACACACACACACACACACACACACACACACATATTCATTAATGCAGAGAACCACACATCAGTGAGTTCATCCTCGGCTCAGGGTTTTTTCAAGGCACCTTCCCAGAATGACAAATAGCCGCTCTCATTGTGTAGATACGCTGTGGTACAATGACAGGAGTGTGTCAAAACAGCCCAGCGGAGGACAGATTATTTGGAGAGGCAGCAATTATACGCACACACACATAACACAACTACAAGGCTCACAAGGACGCTTGAGCAGTGACAGATCATACTGCAAAGAAGCAGCAGCTCGTACAGCATGTCAGAGTCCTCCCACTCACATAATTGTCGCACAACATAAATCCTTCACGCTATACATGCTGACTGAAAGGCATTCAGGTTTAGGTTTCAGGGACGGGACAAACAGCAGTTCTCTCTGGATGATTTCTGTTTGTGCTTAAACGCATGTGTGTTTATATGAAATAGGTATTCTGAGTAATGAGTCTTTTGTGAAATGTAAATAATTGAACCGAGTTCTCTACAAACATTCTGTTACTGCTTCAATATTTATGGAGATGAAAATGACTCTGTTTTCAAATGCCAAGGAAATGATTAAATCCTCAATTTTATTTTCATAATTCATGATCATCGGTATTTTGTTTGACATTGGCACAAGGTGTTCTTGATTTTTGAAGAATGTAACCTGACAGCAGATTTGTTTTTCTCACCTTTTTAAATATCAAACGGGGCTTAAGATTGGAGTGTTTTAGGGAGCTCCATGTACCGTTTAGACCTTATCATCATTTAAAGTAAGAGCTGTACCAATTTTGAAGATTTAGCTACATAACATGGCTAAATCATGTTCTGTATGATGAAAGTACTACTACCAACCCTGCATTGGAGGAACTAATAACATAGGGGAAATGTGACATCCAGTTTTCTTCGTAACGATTAAATAAATGACGGACAAACCTGGTTATAAAAATAAAACTCCATTTTTATTTGAAACAGTCATATCAAATACATCCATGACAGTCAAATGTTAAACTACGTTTCCAATAGAGCAGATGTGACAAAAAAAAAAAACATGATTTGCTTTAAAATAATGCCCTGGTCTTTCAGTGTTTTTACAGGCTGGAGTGAGGTCATTTGTAATGTATGAAAACATGACTCACCTGGAAGTATTTCTAGTCTAAATTGTTAAGAAACAGATCATGACTTCAGACTAAACACACATAAACTCTCTTTCTCTTTCTCTCTCACACACACACACACACACACACACACACACACACACACACACACACACACACACACACACACACACACACACACACACACACACACACTCACTGAAACTAACTCAAATACAGCCGCAGGTTCTTTAAATGTGTCCTTATTCCTGATGTCTTTCTTTTCTAGTTGCCGTTTAATGCCATTTTAAAATAAGTAAAATGACAAAATCCTTTTCAAAGCCATAGTGTTATCAGCAAAGTTGTAAACAGCTTGTACCACTGCTGTTTTACTCCGACATGAATGAACACAACATCTCCACATCCACATCGGCCTTAGGTGTGGAGTAAGAGCACGTCCCTCTGGTGAACACACTGCTGAGTGGTTTTGCAGCATCCCTCCTCTGCAGAAGAAGAGGAGCTGATTGCTGGACCCGTGTAGATCCTGTGTGCCAAAGTCCTGACATCTCTGTCCACAATCAGCAGCCTAGAATAAAAAACATACAAAGAGACTGAAGCGCTAGAGAACATTTGGTAGATTTAACTCTGGCTTGACTGTTAGTATCCATCTAGTGAATATAAATGCAAACAGTTTGTGTCTTTGATAATTCCCTCAAGTGCACCAACACTGTTTCTTACATCAATACTTCATTATTTATCTGACAGACATACATTTGGGCTTAAATAACTCTTTCAATTTGTAAACTTTGTTTTTTCTTTTTCATTTTTAATTCATTCTTGTTTTGTGTATTCAGTTCAAAACCAAAAGCTGTTCAATTAACAGTCATATAACACAGACAACAGACAATCCACATGATGACTGAAGATCAATTGTCGGTTATATTTCAATAAACTCAGCAATTACCCCATAAAATGTTCTACAGTGTTCTCTTCAAGGTCCCAAAAAGAGTCGCTGTCAAATCTTGGCTTTGTCTCCGAACTATAATCCACAGTGACAGCTACAAGTCCTTTGAAACATCAAATAAAAAAACTCAATATGCCACCGCTGTAATTCAACTGCAGCTCCTGTATGTAAAGTTAAGGTCAAGTCATTGGAGACGAGCCCTTAAATTAGTTGGAGTTTTTGACGCTGAGTGGACCGGACTCCTGTTCCTGCTGAACTGAGCCAGTGGTTCTATAGGACTGATTATCAGCTCAGTAGGCACAGGAGGCCAAGCCCGGGTCTCTCTCTCTCTCTTTCTCTTGAAACACTCGCTGGCTGTGAGCTTGTATTTCTCCCGTTTTTTTCTGTCTTTCTTAAATGACACAAAAAGCAGCGCAGACTCACTTCGCCAAAGAGAAACCACACTACTGTCGGTCCATTTAAACTACTGAATATCTGAAAAGGCGTGTCTGTCACGGTTGAACCCTCTCCGCTGCACTCTCTGTAACACCACTGCTGGAGAGTGTGTGATATCCAAAACGATTTGTTGGCAGAAAAGACTGTAAGACTATTTGAGGAATCCGATCATAAAATTGAAACTATAAATCTGTCAGGATCACATTCCCTCACCTTCAGTGTAGACCAGTGTGATACACGCTGCTTTACTTAAAACTCGAGTTTTCTTGAAATGCTGCAGCTCACTTCAAACGACCAGACAATTAGTCGTGTTTAAGTATGTGTAGGGAAGACGACGTCAGTGATGTGAACTCGACAAGTTTATTTTTGGTGTCTCGACACAATGCTGCTTTGTTCTTTGATGTGCACTGCACCATTTCCCCTCACATTAGAGTGTAATAAATCACCTTTTGGATACGTGCTCTGATGGCAATTCCTCTCTTTTACAGGCCTTTGATGGTCATTACTCTTTTAACAGGCCCTAAATATAGGTCTAAAAATGGCAGGCTCCACATGGCCCTCATTTCTAATTCACACATCTGTCCTCGTTTAGTCGCCATTTTGTCGTTGTGAATATAGAACGCTATAATGTACCTCCTCACGGCTCATATTGTGATCTCCAAAAAGGTCTGACCAGCTCTGAAATAGACTTCCAGCCATCTGTCACTGTTTTGATCAGGACGTGATTGTTCTCTGTCAGTATAGTTTTGTTTTCCAAACAGCAGCAGGTATAACAGGAGACTCTGGCAGCCTGCAGCCACATTATGGTAAAGTTATGAAGTCTCAGTCTTCTTTATGTGACGTCCAGCTGCTGTTATTTCCACTTTTGTTGTTTGCTGATGAGCGCACTTCACTCTTTTCTGTCCGTCTTTTTTGTTTGGTGGAGTGATGTGAAATGAATTTGTTGTACAACAGCCCCTAAACAAATCTTTTCCTTTGGACATGTGGGACAGACTGAGAGTTATTGATCATTGTGTTGGCAGAAACAGTTGGCAGTCCGCATTGTTTAAAGCTTATCTCAACTAATTTGGGAACCCTCTCTCAGTACACTCTGTAATGCAGCAAACAAAGCATGTGGTGTAACCCATTTAACAATTCCTGCTTCTCTAGTTATCAGTGGGTATTTAACAGGATCACAGTCTTCTGTTTCTCCTATCGCAGACTAATAATCGAGACAGATCTTGTGCAGTAAATCCACTGTGAAAACTCTTTACCAGCCCAGTTAAGTAAAAGTGACACTTCTAAATGATGGAAAGTTGATTTAAGATTTCCATCTCCTGATGTCTCATTCTTGTTTTCCTCCTCAGTGTGAAAACACTCTGAGAATACAGCATGTCTGCTTTGTACATTTATGTATTTTTTATCTTGAGATTAGATCAGAAATCAATATGTATCAGTCAGGGATGCACGGATGGTACTTTTCACAGCCGAAGTGATTTGAAGCACTTAGAGTACTCAGAGAAAGACGTCGCTCGCAGACTGTCTGCACACCTTATCAACCTGCTTCTCAACTAAACCCTCACTTCAATAAAAAGCTTGATATATTTTTTGCAATATCCTTTCTTACTGATAGTCAGTGCATATGATCAAGGAAAAGATGTGAAACTTAAACTCATGCACGTTTTGGGTGATGGTGAGTTGATTTTCTTGCCGATGGATGGGGACGGGCTTTTGCAATTCTTGTTTAATGAAAGAAGGTCAGGTCAAGATTTCAGACGCCATCCAGTTAAATGCTGTTTCCAAAAACGTTTGAGCCAAGATGGACAGTTAGCTTCACTTGCATCCTGATATATGATTATAGAGATTTAAAAAAATGTTACATCACTAGGGTTGGGAATCACCAGTGGCCCTACAATACAATATTATCACGATACTTGGGCCACCATACAATGTTATTGCGATTTTTAACATTTTGCGATACAGTGAGTTTTGCGTTACAATATATTGCGATTTATACTTTTATTTTTAACTGTTAAGCTAATTTGGCATTTGGTTTTCCTTTATGTTTGTCTTATTTACACAGTATTTTATTTTCATGTAGCACATCTTGCAAACCTTATATATCAGGTCAGTCTCATTTGTGCATGATGTCTTTCCCCGGGTGCTTCTATATTGGTTACTCTAACTTTCTCCTGCTCTATGACGTCACCTCTGCCAACCTCACTGGACAAACAGTTGATTTTATTTTTCCATTATCATAGATTTGACTTCATATGAGCAATTACTTAAAAAAAAAATTGATATTCGGTAAATGTGATGATACGATATATCACCAGACAAAATATCCCGATACTGTGCTGTATTGATTTTTTCTCCCACCCCTATACATAACCACCTTTGGGAGCTGTCATTATGACAAACCTGCTTTTGATCTCCTCGCTCTTTTCCTTGCTGATATGTGATTGGTCAACCATATTTTCCTAAATGTCCAACTATTCCTATAAAGTACTCACTAATCAAACCAGAATGACTGTAAACACAGCAAGTGTAAGATGATGGAGATGATAGTGATGGTGGCCACTTCCTCAGGGTTGAGGAAACATCTATGAGCAGCATTAAGCGTAGTTTTGTGTCTCCTCAGGCCTCATTAGCACTGAAACTTCACTCTCTCTCGAAAGCTACTTGGCTCTCACCTTCACTAGAACTACCGACATCGTCTGCAGGATTATCTTTTCTACTACATAACTAAAAAGAGACTGCAGCTGAGAAGGTGGAAGTTGAGAGCAAAGGAAGGAGGATGAAAGAGGAGGGGAAGAACAAGAGACAAAACAGACGAGCGTTGCACGGCGCTCATTAGTGATGTTACACAGCGTTTTGAGTTTGTGTGGAGGCTTGTGTGCATAATCCTTCTGAGCGAGAGGGAAAGTTTATAGACGGGGAGAGAGGTTCGGAAGAGGAGAGTTGTTTAGACCGAGTAAGAAAAAGGGAAAGAGTGATATTAGATAAGAGAAAAAAGGGCAAGGTGAAAGAGGACACGGGGAAATGAAATAAGGAGCAGGGAAAAACAGGGGGACAAAGGGGCAAGAGTTCTGTGACTGAAATATGTAAACACACATTAGATAATGGAAAACAGCGAGAGAGAGAGAGAGAACTACACAGTGGCCACTGTACAAACTTCAAAACAGACTTTTGTCTCTGTCTCTTTGTCCTGCACTCGCTCATTGTCTGCTTGTCGGGGTCATGCTCTCCTCAGGTGCAGAACTTAGCCACTGTGAACAAAGAGGAAATCAATCACTGTTCACCAATCAGCTAAGCTCTGTGCCTGGCTGGAGAGAGGAGACAAAACCTGTCTAGGGGACTACCATGTACACACACACACACATATATATACACACACTTAGACCCCTGGCTCCCTCATCATCCTTTTCCTTCTCTCCCTCTCTAATCATCAACTCCTCCAACACAATCACACACTCTCTTAGATAATCATGTCTACTCTGGTTTTAAGTTTTGACCAGAGGAATAAGTGCGTGTATGTGTGTGTGTGTTTAGGACGGGGTTGTGGTTGCCATGGTAGCCGGCTGGGTCAGGACTGTGTGGTAATCCCTGGCAATGTGATTTTATCATAAGTCACAAATCAGCACGCCAGGAACCCTCACAGCCCAGACATGAAAGAAGAACAAGATCTTCTGTCTGACTTTTTTCCCCCATCCTAAGTCCAGCTCCCAACTTGGTTCAAATCTGCCACACCGAAAAAGAAACAGCTCGAACTTTCTTTCTCCTCTACGTCTGCCATCAGAGTTCAGTCATGAAAAACCAGACCTGTAGCTCCTCGCTCCCTTTCCCTCTCCTCTTTCCCTCTCACACTATTTCCTTGGTTACCCCTCTCCTCCTCTCCCATTCACCACGCTCGGCTAACCCGGCGATATGCCCCTCATTAAGCGGATCAAGAGGGATTCCAGAGGCATGTACCGGGGGAAGAAAAGAACGAGGGAGGGTGAAAAGAGGGGAAAAAAAGGACAGGGCAGGGAGAGACCACCCTTCTCCTTTTAAAGGGTTGTGCTTTTTTAGGTTTTAAAAACACAGAGCGGAGGAGTGCGCCTTGACAGACATGTTGTTTTCAGTTAAAACCCGCTCAGCCCACCTCCGACTAATCCCGCCGTACTGTGGTGTCTGCGCGAGTGCGTGTGAGGTTGTATAGGGGTAAAAGGGAGGACTGCTCCACTTAAAGGGGGGACGGGAATGGAGCAGTAAAACATGACTCCATCTCCCCACAGTGCGATATGAAAAAGCAGAGGAGGCTGCTTCATCCATCATTTTAATTGGAGAGAGATCTGGACCTGAGCTCAGTTGACCACCATGATCCATTGATGTTTACAGATGCTTGTTTGGTTCAGTCCAATGGGAAGCTATGGTAAAAGTTGGGATATTAATCTCTGAACGCTCATTTTCTTCTTCTCTTCTCTCCTTTTTAGAGATGTCTTGTGCCGCTCTGTTTCATTCCTCCTGTACTTGTAGCAAGGCTCCACCGGGAGGTGTAGTGAGGGAGTGAAGGATGAGGATAAAAGATCTTTGGGCACAGACGGATAGGCGCTGTGTGTGTGTGTGTGTATGTGTGTGTGTGTGTGTGTGTGTGTCAGAGAGATTTATCAGGACTGTGCCAGATGCCGAGCACTTGTCTAGAAAGCCTTTCACATCCTGCACAAATGCATAAAGCTGTGTGTGTGTGTGTGTGTGTGTGTGTGTGTTTGTGTCTGAAGATAAAAGCCTGTCTTGTAGCGGCTTGGTCACGGCCTAAAAAAGGATTTAGCTCTGTAAGTCACTCAGGTTGATGGGGACGAGTATTTAGCAGCACCTCCGTGAGGACCAAGGTCACAGACGCTTTGTTTGAACTTCCACTTGCTCAATTGGTGGCTTGTTAACAATACAGCTGATAAATAGTGGTTCATACTTAAGGGTTAGGACATGATGGAGTTCGCACCGTCTAAATGAAACTTTGAAATTTAGTCCTCTGTCACCACAAAGTTCAATATTTAAGAAGTCCTTCTAGAACTTTTGATTTGTGTCTATTTTGGCGCCCCCTGTGGACAAAGTTTTGGGTCTTATAGCCCATGTTAAAGATGCTCTTCCTTGTGGCTGAAACTCTGTTGGTGCCCATTTTAATTAGGGGTGACCAGATACGATATTTATATCAGATATTGGTCCAAGAAAACGAATATCGGGTTATATCGGCCTGCATCTAAAATCTCCGATATCAGCACTTTGATATGAGCAGTTCAATCCAAACTCTGCTCTGGCACCTCTATCTAGCAGCGCTCGGATCCGGCATGCAGAGCCCACAAAATCACAACAACAGTGTGTGCTAAGGGACGAACAAAGAAGCAAGGAGTAAGAGTGAAGGCTGCAATATCGGTATCGTATGGAAAGTCAAAAAGTTGTATCGGGACACCCCTAACTTTAATCTGCTTGTATTTACAGATAAATCCAACATGTCAGTACAAAACATGTTCCTAGTGTCTAAACTAAATTAACTATAAATAATAATCCAGGTGGTTGCTTATGGGTTCATTTCTGTTCAAACTGAACCAGTTGGTTTCATAGTTAACCTTCCACCTTTTTTCAGTTGTGGAAAATCCAAACTAAAAATAAACCAACACAGAGTCCAAAGTCTCTATATTCATCTCATTTTAAAGTTACCATAAAGCAGCAGATTTCCAGCTCCATAACTGAAGTGTAAAGATTTCCAGCTGATAAAATTCCTGTCATTTACTTGTTTCAGTTCTGCTTTTCTGCTTATCTCTGTGCTCACAGTCAGCATTCACCTTTGACTGATGAAATTGCATCTTACATCTTTTTTTAATAATTTCTTGACATAAACTCTGAGGAACACTACTCTGTGGAGAACATGCTTCTCTTCGTTGTCTCCTCACCTTGTAACAACAAAGTATGTTTATTTCCCTCTAAATTTGACTGCTCCTTATTTTTTAGGGGCTAGTTTCTGGCAGTAAATATAGACACTAAGCCTTGATAAAAAATCTCAAATATGAATAATTTACTGAGTTTAAAGGCAAAATTAAAAGACAGTTATGATATAATAAGTTAAAGTTATGAGATAGTCAGTTGCATTAATGCAATTGCTCTGTTAGTCTTATTTATGAGACATAACTATCTCTTAATTTCAGCTTATTATCTCAAGATTATTGCTTTTGAGCTCATCATTTTGACTTACTATCTCATAGCTTTGACCTTTATCTTAAAATTAAAACTTTTCATCTCATAATTTCACTTTATGCCATTGGATTTTGTAATTTTTGTCACTTTTTTCACTGTTCATCTCATTATTAACCTTCTGTCCCAGAATTTCAGGTTTTAAATCCCAATTCAGACCAACTGAGGACGTATTTCATTGCCTTTACTGATTTCACAGTGTTGAGTCATTGGTTTAGTACAAGTGTAGAAGCTTTACTAATACAAATTTAATTCCTTATCGCATAAAAAACTCAATCATTAATAAATAGCAGGCAAACAAAAGATGTAAGGATTAATTTCACATCACTACGGCTGCAGTATTTAAACCATTTTATAACTCTGCATTGTTAAGCTTTGAAGTAGAATAAAGGGGAAAAAAAAGTCCAAGTGTTGAGTTTTTACTTGAGTTGAGTTTTTCCCTCCGAATCCTTTTAATTGCCTTCTCTCATCATTCAAAGGTTACTGTCAGTAATAGCAGGAGAAGATCAGCAGCTTCAAAGAGACCTGTCTTCACTTCACTCCTTCCTTCCTTCCTTCCTTCCTTCCGCTCTCTCTCTCTTTCTCTACCTCACTTTTTTTGTCTGTCTAAACTATAAATCTCTCTCCTCCTTTCATTTAGAGTAACACTAATAAACTCTTGACTGTCAAAACCCTCCGAGGTCAACAGTGGTGCATACACACAAAAGAGGAATTTCAGGGTCAATGGTGTAAAAATCAGCTCACATCAAGTAGAGACTGTCCTGAGCCCCTCAGAAAACGCTCACTGACCCGTTCTCTCTCTCGCCCTCTCTTTTTTTTTCTTTTCTTCCCTCTCTCCCGTTTGTTTGAGGAACACATTCCCGAATTCCTTCTCTGACAAACACAACCTGATGGTGCTGCTGTGAAACCGCGGAAAAGGCCCCATTCTGAGTCTACAAACACGCACATGTGCGCACTCACGCCCCCGCACATACACAGTGAGCTCAGAGAGGAATGTGAGGTAAAGGTAGCCAAATGACTCAAGTGTAGACTGTCCGCTGGAATCAGGATCAATCCGACACAAAGCGTTCCTTCACAGGGATCTTTTCAGAGTAAAATGTCAGACATGAGACAGAAATATTGTCTTTGGTGTGCAGAGCGGCTCACTAAAAGAAAAATAGCTAAAATGTCAGATGATTCAATCAATCAGCTGTCAACTGATCACATGATACAGAATATTTGAGAAACTCTGCTGTAATATTTATGAGACTCTTTTGATCTTTGTCACACTGATGTTTGACACAGTACGAGTGAAATGTAAAAAAAACATTTCTATGATTGAAAAACGATGAGCAGATTGCAAGGGATTCTATCTCACAAACCTACACAAATATATTTTTACACTTCTGATTCAGCTCGTGAGGAAACCTGTTGATGAGTTTTCTGCCCACATGAAGTGCCGTAAAGAGCAGATGCACTTTAAACAAAACCAGAGTGATTAGAACTAGAATAGAAGAAGATTTTGAAAGGGGAATAAAGGTCAAAAGATAAAAACTGACTTTTTTTTTCTAATCTTTGATTAAGTGGGAATACTAATATGAACTTCAGGTCAAAACTCTCTGAATATAGAAAGGAAGGAGATTTCACCTCCAATATCAGAGGACCATCTCCTCAACAACTCTGCGTGCTGATTGATCCATTTCTTCCTGCACCAATGAGAGGCAGCGCCTTGCCAGAGCCTGCTGCTCAGGGTCCTCCTGAACCATCAGCTCTCCGTACAGATACACACCCATGGCCTGAAACACACACACACACACACATACATACATAATAAGGGCGTTCACTTCATGTAAAGCTTTTCCTCTCTGGTTGAAACCATAGACTGTATATATAATGGACAACTTGGTTCCGCCTTCCGCCAGTATATGGATTTGAAGCTGAAAAGCTCTCGGTATTTCCGTGATTTTTCTCCACTTACTGAAACAAACATTGCGCAGTAGCATTGTGCGCATTCGGTGGGAGAGTCGCTGAGAGTCGCTGTGATGACACTCTGATCAAACAGTGTACCCCCTGGGTGAGCTACGCAATCTTTGTACGTTTATAGGCTGTATTAAGTGTCAATCATAGAAAACATGAACCCCCTAATAACTTTGAAAAATGGAGCCGTACTGAAAAAAGAGGACTTAAGCGCAAACTAGTCTTACAGTAACTACATGTCAACATCCCAAGCAGGAGGGAGAAGAATTTATATTCTGTGTAAAAAATTTGTAAAGTTTGTCCACAGCTCCATAGGGATTGTTGGAGGAAGTGGGATTTATACTGCAGCCCGTCACCAGAGGGTGCTGTTCTCACTGTGGCTTCACCCAGCGAGGAGGCAGACGGCGTCCATTCTACATACAGTCTATGGTTGAAACAAAGTTGAAGATACATGACAAAGCCGTGTATTTACCTGGTCATGAACCAGAAAGTGCTCCACGTCTCCATAAGCCTGAGTGTAGGCGTGTTTGACCACCAGCTCGCACCAGCGATGTCGAACCTAGCAGGCAAAAGAAAGGGGAAAATATAACCACTGTTGGTGCAACCAGAAGAAAAACATTCATAAATCATTCTCAGTTTGATCTTTTGTATTAACTCCTAATTTGTAGGAAATAAAGCCCTACAGTGCGGTCAACATGAACCAACAGAGCCTAAAAACTAAAAGCAAAGAAGATTATGGAATTAGACTTAAAAAGAGATTAAAAATGCCAGAAGTTTTTACTTCAAGCTCAAACTCTACTTCTGAATATTTAAGCTTCAGTATCAGACCCTGTGTGTGAAGTTATACAAAGTTCGCTGGTGTATTTTATTTATGTTGTTCATTTGAAGCTGATTGAGCTGATAACTTAAAAACTTGTAAACAACTTTTGATTAGTCCAGGAAAAAAATGCACTTAAATCTGTTTGGATTCATCAGCTCCCCCAAAAGACACCTCATGTTCTGGTTTTGGCCTGTATATTCACACATTAATGCCCTCAGGTCTCCCTCGGTGCCAGTAACAGAAGACAAACAGCTCATCTGACACGCTGAGAGACAAAGCTGAAAGCTGCTCAGCTCACAATGAATGGATTCATCCTGAATCGTTGGATTAACAGACGTGAACTTTGCTACAGAAAGGAAACATCTCAATCTAAAGGTTGTGTTTTTTAAAAGGTCGATTTCATTCTTGGCTAAGTGCACACGCGGGTTCGCAGTTTGTGTGTAGATGTGTGTAAAGATGTGTTTTTACCGTATGGGTTCATGTGTATGAAAGCTAAAGCCTGGCCTTTCTCCCAGAGGATCAATAGGAGCTCTGTTGCTGCGGTTACAGGAGAGATCAGAGGCTGGCTCTGTCCCTGCCTCTGCCATCATCCTTCATCATCTGCTATGGCTGTGCACGCGTGTCCGTGCATGTGCGCGTGCATGGACGACAGTGCGCGCGCGTGTGTGTGTGTGAATGAGAGAGTGGATACAGGGACAGAAGGATGATAAAGGAGACAGGAGAGAGTGATAAAAAATATCAAGAAGAAAAATCTTTTAAGTACTGTCCCTGTACTTTAAAGCCTGACAGTTTCACTTGACTGGTCTTTTGGAGGGTTTTTCAATCTCCTTCATCACTATTTCCTCTCACTCTGGATGATAAACTAGTCCTCCAGAAAGTACATTGACCAAGCGAGGGATTTCTGATGACCGATTTCTATTTTAACAACTTTAGCTTTGGGCATTTAAAAAAAGTGCTTGTGCAGGTATTCATCTTGAGGCTGTATTCAAGAAAAATAAAAAAAAGGCCAGATGGATCAACCTGAGAGCTGTGTGATTGTGTGCACACTCTTAGGAGCTTTGGCTTTGTTTGTTGCACTGCCGCTCCACCTGTTTATGTAGTTTATGAGGATGGAGCCTGAGCAATGCTCCATTTACTCCAACAGCCACATTGAAATCCTCACAGTACCTCTGCAGTCTACTACATAAACATGAGTTTAATTGGTCTCAGAAGGGCTTTCTAGTTCCTCTTCCATCAAAATCTTAAATCTTCCTTTCCACCATATTTTCTCTGATGTGTTTATTCTGGCGAGCTACAAAAAAAAAACACCAGAGCGGCCATGACAAAAAGAGAAGGGTAGAAGTCAAGTGGAAAGGGCGCTTTTAGCTCTGTCCACAAGGGAACAAGGATGTGCGTGTGTGGATTCATGACTGTGTACAGTATGTGTGCCCTCTGGTGCCAGCCCTGCCCTTCTGGCCTGTGTAGCCCCGGCAGCTGTTCCCTGTGCCGGGTTACATTCCTGGGGAGAGCCCTGGGGCAGAGCAGCTGCCTGGTGCACCTCTTCTTACCCCCCTTTTTAACTCTACTTCCTCTCACTGGGCCTCCTCTCTCTCTCTCTCTCTCTCTCTGACAGCACATGCAATAACACAGTGACATTCCTTCATTTATTGCTGCACCCCCAGCCCTCCTTCACCCTCCTCAACTACCACATCCACGAGTACAGAGTTCGACACACAGACGCTTCAACTAACACTAACTCACTCATTGCATGCTGGCGCTAACTTCCTAACAAACTTACTGTTTATATTTCATACTGTCAGAGTCTTTGAAGCACGACAGATGTTATAATGTATGAACCACCTGAGTGTTCGAGTTAGCACCTAAACACAGTCTCAGGGGGTAATTATGACGTAAATTGTCTTTAATTCAAACAACTGCAAAATTAGCACTTAACCGCCCCTCAAACTGCTTTAACTGCGCTACACTTTACACATGGGACTGACATCTGAACAGTATCACAAGCAATCCCGAGCAATAATGTGCAATAAATCAAATGTATGAAACTATTACAAACATCATATCCTTTAAAAGAGTTATAAAACATTTTAAGGACACTTATGAGTGCAACTGATGCGGCGTTCGAGTTACCTCGGAAGTCAGATGTTGGAGCTGAAAATGACGTCACACCAGAGTTAACATCTACAAAAGTTATTTTAGCGCTTTTCTTGTCCGAATAAAACAAGGACAAGGCTAGCCCTAAAATAACTTTTGTAGATGTAGCCATCTTGTTTCTGCCTCCGATTATGCTTTTTTCCGACTTGGAAACAGAAACACTGGTAACTCGGGTGTGACGTCATTTTCAGCTCAAACTTCTGACTTCGGAGGTAACTCAATGCAGCATTACAATTTAGGTAAAGGATTCTATTATTCTATATACCACATTTCTAATTACCGTAAAATATCTAAAAAGGCCTATCCATACTGAAGGTAAGGTCTCTTCTCGTAGCATGGCACATTTTGACAAATAAATGTACGTCTCAATTACAAGCCTATGAACATTGTTTTTCAGGTGTCTGTGTTATGCAAGTTTCCACCATTCCTGTCCTCTATATGTCAATTAAGTCCAAAAAAAGCCAAAATAAAAAGAACAATTGGTTGTTCTTGTCCAGGCACCTCAACTGTCAGGAGTGACAAAAATGACGTTATTTCCCAAAGGATAAGGAGATGCCTCCCAGTTGCTTGATTTCAACCACAGTCCATATGAAACATGGATGTAGTCTCAGTGACATCACTCATTTGTTCCTGAAGTAGAGACTTGGAGCCCAACGTCGGGGTTTGCCATATTGGAAATGCTGACTTGACCTAACTTTCAATTAGCCTGGATAGAGACAAAGCAGAGATGCAGAGGCAGGCCTTGAGCGTTCTGGCCAATAGTCAGCCACACTTCTCATTATGCAATATTCATAAAATGATTGTTAATATAATTTTCTCCTTGTACAGTTTGTAAAAATAGAGACGAGGCGTACAGACCAAAACTGGCTGTGAAAGAAAATGTTTATTTCTGTTGGGGCAGGTTTGCTTGGCCTTTGGTCAGCCTCAAGTCGACACCTGAAGAACTCTACGTTCCCTTTCTGTGTTTTTGTTTCATTTTTTCAACAAAGATTCATCATCCAATACCAACAGAGATAACGATGGTGGAAAATCATCACATTTGACAAGCCAACCTTTAGGGACTTTTTGGCAATTGTTTTTTATATCTGTGCTCCATTATTGTATCTAACTATAGCTGCTATTGTTTTTCCTATCTCGGTATTTGCCCAGTGGCACCTACAAGTCCTCGAAGGGAGATCCCCCCTCTGTTGTCCTTTTCAGAGTTTTTAAAGTTTCCCATTTGGGTTTTTTTCAGGGGAGTTTTTCTCATTCATTCGAGGAGCTGTTTCTATTTCCAGACTGTGAAGCCCACTGAGACTGTCAATGTGATGAAAGGCTGTACAAATAAACTCGGGTTGACTTTTTTACTTCTTCCCTAAACACTCTTTGGTTTATTCATAATAACTCTTTTTCCTCTTCCTGTTGTTTGCGCCGCTCGGCTCCACATGTTGCGGTGGAACCAGACTTAATGTGGTCCAGAGGAGTCTCCAGTCACTGTGGGAGCGCAGCTAACCTGAGCTCGAACAGACAATACATCCTGTGTGTTTGACCGACAGATGGCCTTTGAAACGCACAACGGTGCATGTTCACTCATGAAAAAAAAAATCTGAGATTTGCTCGTGGATCTACCGCACATACATGCACATACATGCACAGTCGCACAGGATCTCACATCACATGACGCTCATATGAAAGCGGTTGGAGGGACGGGGAGGGGGTTAGGCATGAACTTTCTCTCATACATACAAACACATGCTCCAGCTCACACGTATTCATGGTCACTCACACACCATTCACAAAGCAGCACGCACACTGGTGGTCAGCCACATATTTCCTGCTGCTATTGAGGACATGCTCATGCAAATCACACGCAGAAACTTAGCTTGCACGCCACTTTTCACAGGACCTTTGACCCAGTGACAGGCTCTTTTCTCACTGTTAGAGAACTCCTCTCTACTCCTGAGATTGCAACGTGTACAGTCGAGTCTGTTGTGCTTCTGTAGAGCGCCTCTTTTGCTGATCCTCATTTTTATTTGACGTTTTTCCAGAATCAATGTTGATTCTTTTTTCTTTACTTGCATGCTTGAAGATCGAGACTTCAAGTGGTTATTAATCAAATAGAGGAGGATCAAAGTAAGAGTGACCATATTCTGACGGAGGCGGAGTCAGTTAATTTTGGGAGTTTTTCGGGTTGGATTGAGTATTTTTAGGCACTTCTAACTCAGTAAGTCCATGAAACTTTTGTACAAAAGCGCAGACATTTGAAGAATTTTATAAACTTCCCCGGACAAACCCGAACAGCCCCCCAAAAAGATGACATGTCCGGGTAAAAGAGGATCAAAGTTGGATTTGTTTAAAATAGCACAATTTAGTAAAAGAGAGTATTTGTAAAATTTTATTTTTATGTCTCAAGGAGTCCTGTAAGGTTTTAAAATCAAGCCACCACAGCTTTGTCACCACTTTTACCCAAATCACCACGTAAAATGGATAAATATACTAATTTAAAACTGCAAATCAGACGGCTGATCATTAACACAGATTAAAATCATCATCAGAAGGATTACTCCATGCAGCAGGGAGTGACAATAGTCGTCTATTTTGGGCTGAACAATCTGTGTCGTGTTTTGTCGAATCACGATCCGCTCTGAGTCAACATCGTACTAACCGCTCTTCAGCAGCCAAGAATCATTTCTATAATCCAATATTCATCCACTCTGAAAAGCTCTCACTCTCTGTGAGGTAAACAGTGAGATGCTGCAGAGGCTGAACTGCACTCAGTCTCCAAAAAAATACATAGAACAGATCAATCTTCTGAAGAGGATGCATTACCAGACAGGGAGAAGCTGAGTGAAAAGATTGAACGCAATCAGACGGAGGGGAGACAGAAATGAAGAGAAAGAGAGGAGAATAAAAGTGCACATTTATAAGGAAAGACGTAGGTGATTAACCTCTACTGAACGAGATTACCGACATTAGGAGAGGACCATTGCCTTTGGACAGGTACTAGCAGGTGCGCGTGTGTGTATGAGAGAAAAGAGTGTGCGTATGTGTGCAGTTTCATGCATGACTCTGTGCGTAATGGCCTTGGGTATTTTTAGCAAACACTGAAAGTTTTTCCTGGAAAACGCAGATGTGGATCTAGTTTTATCTGCCAGGAAGTGAGACTTATGAGGTCAGAAAATCTAAAGCTGGACCCGAGGCCAAAACACTATTTCACCTCAACTTGTGACCTCAAGGTTAATTACTTAAAGTGGAGACAGCAAGGGTAAAATCAGAGTAACGTTTTGACTCGTGTGAACCTGAACAGGTGGTCTGTGAAGCTCGGAATTTGGACGATAAAAGTCGACTTTTAACCGTCTGGATTCAGTTCAATTAGCTTTCAGTTGGCTGAACATCTGAGCCTCATTATATACATTACCACCCCAACAAAACAGCTCATATAGTTAATATGAAGCCGTAAAAAATCTAAATACATATCATAATTTTCTGTTGGAGATGAACCCTGTGTTACAGACGAGTGGACGCACTCAGCTGCAGCTGTGCTTTCACACCCGTGCTCCTGTGCTGAGGCGCACAGCAAAGAACACTTGAGCCGCCAACACACATACGACTTGAAAGCACAAACACAGATGAGGAAAAAAAAAAAAAGTCACACACTCACAAACAATGTTAATAGTACCATTAAGGAACAGTGTGCAGTACTAAAACATAAAGGGAATACTTGTGGGATTTAGTCGGTAATGGTGGCTGTAAAGAAGAGAGCTGCTATTACTGCAGATTTACAACACATTACAAAGCGCTGCGTCTTGGGATGGAAAGAGAGAGGAAACCGTCTACTTTTTATTATTGGAAGGAAGATTATGGAGCTTGGGTGCATATGCTCTCTCGTCTGGGCATGTGTGCGCGTGGGTGAATGTGTTTCTTCCCTACGTGTGTGGTCTTACCTCAGCGTCTCGGTTCTGTAAGATGTAAGTTTTCTGCAAAGCCCGCACTGCCGCCACATTCAGCTCCTCTTCCTCCAGTAGAAGCTCTAAAAGCATCACAAGCTGGTCCGGCGTCACCTGTGGAGCGGGAACAGGTTATGAGATTAGAATTGCTGACTGACACAAGCTCTCTCGTAGGATATAATGCAGCGTTTTATTGGACATTATGAGCAGAAAAGCCACATCCTCCTTACACCAGCAGCTTTAAACAACTGAACTAGCACTGTAATAAACACATTGCATGCTATGAGACTGATCTCAAATCTATTATTATCTAAAAAATTTCATTTTCCCCACAGTGCCGGGGAAGGTTTGATGAAAAAACACATCAATAAAGTCTGACAATTAATGCAGCCTTTCAACCAGAGGAAACGGGAGTGAAATAAACAGAGCTGGAATGGAAATTAAATAAATATGGTAAACTGCACGGCTCTGTACAAGGGGGAAATATTACAAAATAGGCAAAAGAGGGTGGTTAAGGGGAAATATTAAGACTTAAATCAAGGCAGAGGGAGATGTGAAACAAAGCAATGAAGTTGTCTCTTTTGATATTACCTTATTGCACAGAAACAAAGGAGAGCAGCGGCGCTCAGACACGCATGCAGCCAGAGGAAGATATCTTTTCAGAGCTGTTATCCTTTGTCGGATCTAAGACTGTAAGAAATCACCGATTGCGGTGATTAAAGAAGCTCAAAGTATAAAAGAGAAAAGGTTGACAGGGAACAAGAAATGCCTCGCTGTTCCTTTTTAATAAACCATGTACTGATTGTGTTAAAGTGGGCTAAACCTTAAGGAAACACTCTGCTTTATTTCACTGTAATAATGACTAACATCCACAGAGACAGTGAAAACTCAGCGGTGAATTTAGACCATTATTCTGAGGATGGATGTGGGCAGCGATATGAGAGAGCGACTTCCTCCTCAGGAGAGAGAGGAAGAGCTGCGCCCAGCCTTGCCTGCCTCTCTCCTGTGCACACCCAGAGCTCCCAGCCACCATTTCTCCCTGCTCCCAGTCTGGGACACAATTAATGGCTGAAGGCCCCGCAGAGACCGATGTGAAAATAGGTATGAAGTGTTTGTGTGACTGAGGGAAGCAGAGCGCGAGAAAGGAAAAAGGGAAGGGGGAAAAGAGGAGGAGAAGGAGGTGGGCTGACTTCACTTTTTTATCCAGGTAAACACGTCCGGAGAAAATAGAGGCATTTCTGCATATATATTTTGAAAAGTACCCGTCCATTTAGAGCAATCTTTGGTAAACAGCTTCCTTAATGCTGCTGGGAAATACCTGAGCTAAAAGCAGGAAGTATTGCAGCTTGTAGCTGCAGGAGCGGAGGGAATAACACCCCAACTCAAGCTGGCGAATGGTCAAATCAAACACCACCACTACTTCACACACACACTCACAGACACAACACAGATGATCGCTTAACTCTGTGGAAAATCTGATATCCAGGCTCTCCCTTCACCCTCTATCGACTCTCTCCTCCTCCTCCTCCTCCCTCCATTTTGTGAAGGCTGAGTGTAGTCTGAAGTGGTGTCTCCATCTCTAAAGGGTCTCTTTGGGGCCCACCCATGATCCTCCTCACTCTCCCACCCTTTGAAAAGTCCACAGCAATAAAACACTGCTCACACACTCTCACCAGTATATACACACACACACACACACACTTCCCTGTACGGTCTGTGAGGTCCTGTTGTGCCTGTATGTACTTGTGTTGCCATGGTGGGTAATCAATATGTCTGCTCCAGTGTCTCCAACAACAAATTCCTGGTCAATGATGGTACACCGTGAATCAATTCAAATTGTTATTATTATCCTGACGCGTCCACATTGTACACATTCTCAAAGACGGAGACGTGTTGTCTGCCTGCTTCATCGTGTGCAACATCTCCATGGTGAACAACAGCAACATCTGTGTCCATCGTCCATTTACCTCCCATCCTCTAATAAATACACAAAGTGAGTACATTAGCTGCAGAGTTCTTGTCAAGCACTACTTTGGTGTTTGTGATCCTTCCTAGTATATGTTGTACGAATACTTCAGCATAATTAAAGGGACAATACCACACTTTTTACTGTCTTTTGCATAAACCTCTAAGTTTTTTGTGCTTGTGAGTGCAAAAAATTAGTCCAAAAAATATTTAAATGTTGATAACTGATTACAGAAGAGTACTTAGAAGTGTTCCACTAGTGAGAGTTAAGAGCACCTACTCACCAAGCTTGTTTTCGCCTTGCTGCATGCACCTGTAACCAGGTCTCTGCTAAGTGTCGACACTTACTCGCAATAGCCTATCTCTTATGCTTTGAATTTTAATGTCATGCACAAAATGGGACAAAGTTTATAAATTGATTATAAATGCGCCGTTGAGGATGGAGAAGCGTTGACATGAAATCGTCACAAATGTCATTTAATGTTAAGGCAAAATGTAAAATATCCTAACCTGTGTGACACGATTATTGATTCGTCTACCAGGCTGAATATTGACGTTTTAATTTAATATTATAGATTCTCCTGCCAAAGTCGACTGATCAATCAGGCAACCAATCAATAGGGCCAATTAATGGTATTTGAGAAGAGCCTGTGCTCACATGGTTTGTAAAAAAAAGAACAAATTATACCTGCAGACCCTGTAGGCAGTCCCGCCAGTGTGGCTGGTGTGGAGTACTTTGGGAAGCTGATGATAAAGTCAGTTTTGACCCCTGTGGCTCAACTCTAACTTTCATGCACCCTGATATTTGCCTTAATGTCCTTACATCGCACATTTTTCCACATCCTGTATAACGACATATCAAATCTAAAACAGTCACTGGCCAGGGTGTATAATAAAATCAGTTATGAAATGCGATAATGCAGTTTAATATGCATTTGACATAAATATCAATCATGTTCTGTGATCTATAACCCCATGTATACATTGGCGATCAGCTGACCTGTTCTCTAATTATTGGTATTGGATGTTAAAAAACCAATAACAGTCGACCATGGATCACTCCTTCATGATTCCTTGTGACAGAGCTAACGGCATAAGTTATAAGTTACAAATTGGCAGAAGAAGCTCACCTTCAGGCGTAAACTATGTTGTGCTGTTGGTTCTGTGTTATACTTCTGAGGTGAGAAATAAATGCTTAAGGGCTGCTGTGGAAAGTCTAACTCCATGTTGTCCACTGAAAATATTTTTCGGGGTAGCTTGAGTGTAGTGGAGTTTGTGTGTGTGAGTCTGTTTGTGTGTGTGTATGTGTGTAGTGAGTGAGATGGAGGGAGAAAGATAGCTATTATAGGGGAAAAGGTGAACTCCATGGCTGAGTACCCCCTTATTAATGGGTACAGCCCAAAGAACAGCACGCAAACCCTTGCAAATAGACAACACACATACACACACTGAAACACACACACACACACACACACACACTGAGTCTCATGCCATGACCAGGTCATGGGTAGCTCTAACAATAGCCCTTAATAGTACAGTGCTGAAAGCACTTTACCACTGAAGGGGGAAATGTATCCCTCTCTATCTCGACAATTCATGAGAAAGATCCCCCTCACACACACACAGACACACACACACACACACACACACACACACGCACACATGCAGACAAACACACTCTCTGAGTTTGGCCACATGAAAGAGGCATTTGATTCCTGTACTGTCTGTCAAAGCTGAAGAATGCTAATGGTGCAGAAGAGACAGGACACAAAGCCTCACTCTTGCTCTTTTTATTCTCATAACACACAAACACACTGTACACACATGCTCAGACTGCTGTACTCTCACTCATATAGACACTGCATATTAAAAAAAATAATGCACACTCTCTACTTCTGTAAAAAAAAAAACGCTGATAGGGGTCAGTTTCACTGGCTCTGTATTGAGTTGAGCCATGTAAGGCCCTATGGGAAATATGCAGCTGAAATGTCCCCTTCACACACTGACCTCTGCAGAACAATGGAGCTCAGAAAAACACAAACACATGTGAATGTACGCATGCACAAATATAGACTGTTTGCCACGGTGACTGGAGCTCAATGAGACAAACAGTTATAGTAAACATAGGACATGGTGTCCACCACAAACTATAAATACATTCAGATGTAGTGTTTAGCATGTGTGCATGAATGTGTGCGACTCTACTGCTCACCATGTCACTCCCATGGGAATAGAAGAAGTGTAGAAAACGAGTGTTTTAGAGACAAATGGTGGAAGCAGCAGCAATTTTCTGTGTGTGTGCGTGTGTGTTGAGTGCATAGGTGTGGGTGTATGAGACCAAGCAACATTAGTCGCGCAACTGCTGCAGCAAAACATGTTCATTTTTACAGCACGATATAATCAAAGCTCTGCGGATCTTTGTACTGAATGTGCATACACAAATTAAACCGTCAATAGAGATATTTTTGTGTTACGCTTGCCAAATATTCACAAAGCTACAACAAAGACCGAGCAGAGAGTCGTAAAAAAAATGTTTCTAATATAAGTGTGAGTCTCTGTTGACTTCATGGTATTTTTATGAGAAGTGTAGAAATAGAGAAAAAAAGACTGGAATGAGGTAAAACTGTTAATCTGAAATCTTTTTCTGTCCCTTTCCAATAATCCATCACTTGTTCAGCATTTCCATGGCAACGGCACAGAGTATCACTCTGCTTTCTGTACAGAGCATAGGAGAGTCAGCACGTGTCCTTAGTCAGGAGCCTCAGGATTGATTTAAAATATTTCCATTTCTCCGTCTATTCCTCCACCTTCTCCTCCTCTTCTGTGCTTAAGAGGGTCGCGATCTACCCCCCGTGTTAGTCTTCAGCGAACGTTAGAGGTTACTCACAGGTTAACATCACATCTCTGAACGAGCAACCTCGGATAACCTCTGCTGGCTGAATCTTCACTGTAAATATCTGCTGAAATAATTTTTTCCTGCTTTTCCTTTTTTATCCGTTTTCTCTTATTCCTGCTTCAGAGACAAGTAAGGCTCAGTGAGAGTTACTTGTTACATCAAAATAAAAAAAGGGGGAAATTACATTAAGAAGACTAACAGACAGAGCGAGGGAGGGAAAAAGCACCAAAGGGATTTTGCAAAAAGAGAAAGGCAGCGATTTGACTAAGTGACCATAAAATCTATATAATGAGTCTAAAGAACATAAGAGAACCTGTTTCTATGCCCCTGGCACTGTTGAAAGGAATACAGAGGTGTTGCAAATGCTTTCTTTTCTCCCTCTACCTTCCTTCTAACTCCCTGCCTCCGTACCACCAGGGAGAGTGTGCTGCTTGTTCAGTCACACTGCATTATGGGGGCTGGAGACATTGAATAACTGTGACATTATAAAACCAAACTGTGAGAGGCCATTGAATGGTGTGTCTATGTGTGTGTGCGATGCCATTCAGCCGCTCGGTTGCCTTTTATTTCCGTCTGACCGCAGGCTCGTAAAAACACATTCTGGCACCAGCAGCTAAAGGCCTCAGCCCACGCCTCAGGTACTAAGGTTTCACTCATTCTTCCCCTCAAATCCCTCCCTTTTCTCTCTTGGTCTGCCTCTGTCTCCACCACTGTCTGCTCCCCCCCCGTCTCCATACCAACTCCTCCTTTCACTCCTCTTTTCACTGGACCAAACTGGCTCCTCCAATTATAAGCCCCTCCTCGCTTCCTTTATCTCGTACAGTCTGTCTTTATTTTACACTTGATTTAAGAGCCGAAGCATTCATCTGTGGCTCAAAGTGCAAAGACAGTCTCGGGTCCTGAGGAGAAACAGTACACCGAGCAGCTGTTAAGATTCTCTCTGAGAGCCATGACAGCACAAATAGCATTACAATTACTTAGACTTTTAATTTGCCTGTTACTCTCTTCTGTATACAGCTGCACTGAATAAAAATGTGCACAAAAACTGAGCAGATGGTCAGGGATAAAAACACTGAATGGTAAAGCAAATGATGTAAAGAAACTGTTGGTGGCTTGGGAGTTTTCAATGATGGCAACTTGTTATTAAGCTTTCTTCATTCTGCAAACTCTAATATGATGTGTATATGCTCAATAATTTATTGATTGTATACATTACACAGCATGTCAGATCACATTGATTTGCAGCATATTGAGTTTCAACATCTCTCCAGGAACAAGCATGACTTTACTTAATGAACACAAATATGATCTAAGGATGCTCCAATGTGAACAAGTAGCAACCTCCATATTCAGAAATTCAGCCAGAAACTGAAGTACCTCAGGCCGGTTCCAAAGGCCCCAGAAGCCCCATTAAAGGGATATTCCGGCGTAAAATTAAGTTAGGGTCAAAAACACCGTAGTTAGACAACCCTTCTTCAAGAGATGAATGTTGCCGACCGCTTGCTTCTCTAGTTATACGAATTTTAGTAACAACTGCACAATAGCAATACACAGAGGTCTAAGGAGCCATGCGCACACCTCAACCAAAACACCACTTTATAGCCACAAATAATGCTCAGAACAGCACCTAACTTCATCAACGGTACATATAGGGTCCCAGCCATGGAACTAGCCACCAAACATCTCAGTGTTTCCTGATTTCTTTTGCAAAGAGACTAAACACAACATACCCACTCTCCTCCAGCAGCTGCTTGTTTGTAGGGAGAGCTCGGACGAGTCCATCACCAAGTGCAGTGGAGTGACGCAGCTCAAGGAAGAACATTTTACTCATTACTTTATCATTTCCTTGAAGTAATAATCATCATATTAATCCTTTTGCACTGCAGACGCAGTAGTTCCTCTGCCTTAGCGTCTCAGTCTGATTGCATTTCAGTGAAGAAATGATTGGTTGAGGTGTGCGCGTGGCTCCTTAGACCGCTGTGTATTGCTATCGTGCAGTCGTTACTAAAATTGGTATAACTAGAGAAGCAAGCAATCGGCAACATTCATCTCTCGAGGGGCTGTCTAACCCAGTGTTACGGTGTGTTTGACTCTAACTTAGTTTTACGCCAGAATATCCCTTTAATATCTGTGTTGGAATTTCCACCTTTAAAGCAATCATTAACTCATTTACAGCCAGGTGCAAAGAAGTGTGCTTGTCTATTGTCTATTTTTCTATTCAAACACAATGTAAAAGGGGGTGAACCATCATTGCAACGTCACATAACAATGTCTATGTTTTTCACAGTCCACAGAAGCAACTCGTCCTGTAGCATGAGCAAAGAGTGTGGTATAGGTTTGGTTAAAATGTAGAGCAGCGATGAGCGGACACTATGAATATAAAACACATAAATCACCCATTCTTGAGAGTCGGGACAAAACATGTCCTACATAGAAAAGTCTAATTTATTCAAAACAATTAAGAAATTCTAAATGTTTGACATACTCAAAAAGTTAAATCTAATGGATTTGTGTATACCAATCCTATTTTTTAGCACAGATATTTACTTTTTGGGAGGATATTTGTTTAAATGAAACGTCTGTGGTTAGAAGGTCCATGTTATTGGTTGTGTCCTCAGCAAGAGGTCACAATATTGACCAGCCCCAAAAAACCTTAAAAAACTCTATAATTGTGAAAACATATACATCAAATAAAAATTCAGGGCTATAAATATATAAACAATGAATGGCCTGAACATCAAATAGCTTTTTGCCTAAAAATCTGCCTATCAAAGTTGTGTCCTCAGTTTCTGTCAACTCCATCAGATTATTCTATAAACCTCATTAAATCATGCAATATCATGGTCAGCTATATCCCTGAGGACCCCTTTTCATTTCCTGCTTCTGGTGAATGCAACACCACCACACATGGTCTGGTAGGTTTTACAGTTTTTGATATTTTAGACAAACAATGTCAATATTTGTATGGTCACAGCTGGACCATGTCAACACCGTCCCTCTGTTATTATACTTTTTTTTAAACCATAGTGAGTTCAATTAAAGTATTTTAGTGAGATTATCAGGACAGCTAGCAACTGCCAAAAAAGTACCTAGCTGCACTGTACAATAAATGTTTTGGAGGGAAAGTACATGCCCTTACGTCAACTCCGTCAGACATCAACTCCGTCAGATTTTGTGTCTGACGGAGTTGACATGTAAGTTGATGGAGTTGACAAATCCACCTATAACCTCTTTATGTGCTGACATTATGCTATTTTTGAACATGGTTAAGGATAACAATGTTATTCCAGGGTCTTATCTGCACATAAAAGTACATATATAGCATATATTACGTTATTTTACCATATACTTCTGCTTTGTAGAGTAGACCATGGGCAGGCTGTCTGCTTAATTATAACTGTCAAACTTTCCCAACACACACACACACACACACACACACACACACACACACACACACACACACACACCTAATCTCATTGATTGATTGATTAATGTACAATCCTAAAGGTGCAGTATGTAATTTTCACTACCTAAAATCTACACACTGGCTTCTTATAGAGTGCGCAAGAAGTTCTATGTTGCTCTTTTAAACCCCAGTGTAGGTGGGATACCAGATAGAAGAAAAAGGTTATTATTTTTACATTGTTAACTTGGACCCTCAGACCTTGGGCTCTATTTTTGTGTCCACCGGCGACATGGCGGAGGGTAGCGAACCCCGCGCAGTGGCATTTTCGTCTGGCGGAGCTCAGCGTACAGCCAGTTTGGTATTTTCGTGGACTGAGGTGCACCGAGGTCCGCCAAGCTGGGCGTGGATGTGTGGCAGGGTGAGGTGTCCACAGAATCAGCTGGTGCAGTGACATTTTTGTACTTGTTGCCGGCATGTAAAGTGCGCTGAAAGCTCGCAGATTCAAACCTGGTCAGCTTTCAGCGCAGGTGGATCCGGATGGGCTAGTGGTATTTTGGGAGACCGGCGGTATATCGGCCTCACCAGCAGGTTTCCACAGTGTCAGGAACATTTCCGTGCAATAAATAATCAATAACAACTAATAATCTGTGTCAGCACATACATTTAGATCTATATCGATATATTCTGATCTATATCTGATCTGATGAGCGCATTTGGCATGCGTTTGGACACTCAACCTGACCAAATTAACACAGCTGCTGAATCCGAATGAAATTGAATCAAATATCTAGTAAATAAATACACATGATGAAGTTAACAAGATATTTAATTTGTCTGCCCCCATTTCTAGCTTCCTCTTCCTCTTATTTCTCACGCAGCTCAACCTGGACATGTCTCCGTGTCCTCTACCCGTCCTGCTGCAGCTGCTGCTGCGGCAGCTGAACAGATGATTTGTTCCAGTGATCAGATGAGTTTTTTACTTTAAGCCTACATACAAATATTATAATAATCAGTTTTGTGAGCCAAATTTATTTTATATGTCAACATCTATGAAAGAAAGAGCCAGGCCACGGAGCGCGATTTACACACAGATTGGTTCCGATTTTAATGCCATTATTGGAATTTATGTTGTGACCTTTGCGCACAACCCACCTTTGTCACGTGAGGTTTAAATATATCCAATTTAATGTGATTGTCTTTATTTGTGGAAAAGGGTGTTTGTCTTACCAGTGGGTCCAACATTACACACACCAAATCCATCTGTGCTTATATGAGACAGTGCGGAGGACGCCCAATGCAGCGCTTACAGTGACACTTGTTGAGGAGCTGCCTTCTGTCGCCATCGTGTGGCATTGCTGTCTTCAGACATCTCTTGATCTCTTTGACTACTTCACGAAAATGGTAATACGCCTCGCTAGTGGCGGATTCAAAGGCGAGAAGAAGAGCTGATGTTATTGGTCAATACAGGTCTCGGCTGTGTTAAACCCACTCAACGCCCTCTCTCCTCCCTCCCTATGACCTACGCCGCTGGAAGGAGCTGAGTTAGGGGAGGGGGGATACTTATGCCGGGCTGCACAACTCACCAAAATACGAAAATGTGCTTGGAAACGCCTTGTCGGCGCGGTGGTTAATTGCATTAACGGTATGTTCAGTATGAAAACAAGGAGTTATTAGTTCTTAATCTATTTTCACCTATTGACCTATTGTCGATCGGTTTAAAAACACATTTGTTCAATAACATATGCAATGTCATCAACTCCGTCAGTTTCTCGTCAACTCCGTCAGGTGTTCGTCAACACCGTCAGATGTATGTTTTTCTTCAATTTTGGAGAAAAAAAAATTTGTTTCTTCAGTTTATATTGTTTAAGTAATAAAGGAGCATTGGCTCTACATCCTCTTGTGTCTTATTTACTTACAGAAATTGTTTTTATAATATAAAAATTAAAAACAAAGTTTGAAAATGCAACTATTTAGAAATCTTGGTTTTCAAAATAGTGTGAAATCACACATTAGGTTTATATATTATATTTCATGGCATATCAGAGTAACTAAACACTATTACAACATACATCAGAACTTTAGATTCTTGTTGGACTAGAATTATTAAAATTATATTCTTTTTTGTGTGTCTGATGGAGTTGACACAAATCCACTGTCTAAGGGAAACATGTTAATTTATAGAAAAAATGTTTTTATTTAGAGCCTGTTCCTTTACGGGGTTAAATAGCTAAGACCTTTCTCTACAGTAATAAATAACTCTAATCAATATAGTGTGCATTCTCAAAAAAAGTTTTTTAGGAAGTGTTTTGTCCCGACTCTCAAGAATCCCTGAAATATGATAAGTAGCTAACAAAAAATACATCAGCACTCTGCAGGGATATGATACTGCAATCTTGTGGCCTGACAAGGTCTAAAAACACATTATAAAAGTCGCCTGCTGACATCATAGGTTTTGTAAACCAATTTCAGGTAATGGATTGGAGCGCACACCCACGCACAAGCACACACACACACACACACACACACTGCACAGAGGAGCTGCTGAAAGGTTATCTTTGAGTCACGTGTTACCCTTTCAACTTGTGAAAACGGAGCTGTCCTCCGTGCAATCATCCCCTGAAATGATGTCACACCTGCCGCTGCAGCACAGTGATGATCCCACCGATAGTGCCGGTCACAGACTGATGACCTCACCGATGACCTACAGCTGCTACTGCCTATCTGCCGTCTGATCATTAATAACTTTAATTCTTTGTTTTTCAATTTGCAAGCCGCAATGATCAACAGCATCTTGAGCGAGCGCAGGGGTGTTTGTGTGTTTGGAGCTCTTATAATCAGTCATGCAGCTAATCAGTAGGCTAAACATAAAGAAGGCATTTAAGAGGTGCAGACACTGCAAGAGAGGGGAAAAAAACAAAACCAGAGAGAGAGAGAGAGAGAGGGAGAAAGCTTCTGAAAGTTTGACCTTGTAATCAAAATTACCGTCGGGATCAGCTGTCTCATCAGTGTGTCTTTTGACACAAGCACACACACACTGACAACAAGCAAAGTGATGGGAGAAATGGATGTTCACCAGCATGAGGATAATGGGTAACAAGTATTCACAGCACGCACAATACTTTGCCAATCAACAGAGAACATTTGGAAAACAAACAAGTCTGTGTGCCTGATTTATGCAGGGAGTCAAGTGCGCCGGATACTTTTCGGAGCATGTGCGAGAATGAATGCATGAAAGCTGCAGAATGTGCTCAACATTATGTGAACTCCGTCCCTGATTTCTAACCCAGTCTGCACTCTGGGATGTTTGTGTGAAAGCCTGTGTTATTGAGTGGGTGTTTGATCAGCTGCTGCCTGTTAAGACGGGCAGCCCCTGGTAGCTGCTCTTTTTTCCCCCCGCGTCTTCCTTCCTGGCCTTCAAGTTCACAGTCTCGGACCAATCAAAAAGCAGCGTGGGGTCACAGCAGGGTTGCGAGTCAGGGGTTAAGCTGAAAAAGCGCACACAGTGGGCCTGCCGGTGAGGAATGGCTGCTCGCTCTGAGGGGGAATCAACCGGGCAAACATACACACACACGCACAGAGAAGCACATCCACATAAGGAGTGTGTGCAAGACGAGTACATAAATGTTCATGCACCTTCAGGGGCATCCTCACCTCTTTGGACAGGTTTCTTGATTGTTTCATGACCTCGAGCAGCTGCAGAAGTCGGAACATTTGTTATGTAAAATCCATATGTCTCTGTAGTTTGGCACTGATAGTAAAGGCTGTTAACATGTTTTCTCTCCTACTCATCCCCGCTCTGAGTCATATTCATTCACACATACACAAACCTCCAAATCAGGAGAAGTTTAATTAATCTCTGGCACTCTTCGCTTTGACGCAAGCCTCTGATCCAACTGTCTCCAGCTGATGCCTCCCTCTACTCCCACAAGCCATTGTTCCAATCCCACCATAGACACAAACAAGTCCTCAACACATGCTCCTCTCAGGTAGGCCTCTTTTTTATCTACAACCCAGCATTTTCCAAATTTTGGAAACTGTAAGACCGCACTTGTCTTTTCTTGTGCCGTGTCCCTGCAGCACTTGTCACCTTCACCGGGAAGGAGAGAATAACAAGCCCCCTTAGATCACACCACTCTCTGTGCTAGGTGCTCTGACCGACGGGTAGGAGTCCCTGCTGGGGACTGAACCTCAGTGATGGCTGGCTGGTGTTTCACCCCTGCACCGCCCGGAGTCCTTTGAAAGAGAGGGGCCTTTGAAACAGCGGAAACAAAAGGGCTGTTGTTTGTGTGCGAGGGAGAAAAATCTGTTGCATCCGTACCACAGTGACACATCCAAACAGCTGGACGCCAGCTCAGACAAAGAGAGAGGTGAGAAGAAAGAGAGGGTTGAGCAACAGATCCTGAATCGTACTGTATTTTCGAGATAAGGACCGAGAGGAAATATTATTTTCAATTCACTCTTCTGATTCTTTACGTCATGTGCTACAGACAGTGCTAAAAGTAGAGTGACCTATAGAGTCAGGGCAAACTGATATCAGCCAGTCTTAACAAAAAAACATTGGACTGATTGTGTTTGGTGAATAATTTCACAATCAACCTTTAGAAAGATTAAAAAAAGAGATTTGTTTCACTCATGGAAATCAAGTTCCTGCCAGAAACCATCTTTTGAAGTTTACATCATCAAACTCAGGAATGAGAACCACAAGGCTCGTACAGGTTGCCTCAAGGTGGCAACTAGTAAGTACCTGTATGCACTTTTCTACATTTGATGAACATCTCTTAAGTACCTGTTTAAACACATGCCTTACAGCAACACAGGAGGACACTCAGTGTTTGATTTAGTAAAGTAATACTCATTGCCCAAGAAGACTTAAAGTGCCTGCATCTAGGGCTGAGCTGCAATGTTGTGCTAACTTTTGGTTGTTGTTTGACATCTCAGAAAAATGTGATTCATCTTAGGTTGTTGCTCTTCTTGGTTGTTTTCTAGTATCTTTTAGGTCCATGCAGGCTTGGCAGCCCATCTGGTGTACCGTGTAAAAACAAACTACTACTACTCCTACTTATGGCAAGATATTTACGCAGCTGTTGCTCCCTGTTGCTGTTGCAATTCGTGATGCACAAAATGAGGCGTAGTTGAGGAAAAACTGTGACTATGTATATGCTAATTTATGAGAAAACGTAAAGTGCTGTTTTGGTTCATTTTCCACAGAATTTCTAATGTCATGCTTTGAAAACTTAGGCAGGATTGTTCCCTGAGACTTTCAGGGGTGGGGATCACCAGTGACGCCACGATAGGATATTATCACGATACTCGAGCCACGATACGATTTTATTGCTATTTTTTAACATTTTTTCAACCATTTAGCTAAATTAGCATTTGGCTTTCATTTATGTTTTTCTTATTTGCAGCATATTTAATTTTCATGTAGCACATCTTGTAAACCTTATATATATTTGTCGTACTAACTTTCTCTTGCTCTATGATGTCACCTCTGCCAACCTCACTGGACAAACAGTTGATTTTATTTTTCCATTATCATAGATTTGACTTCATATAAACAATAAATTTGATAAAAATAATACAAAGATAATACAATACATCACCAGACAAAATATTGTGATGCTATGATGTATCGATTTTTTCTCAAACCCCTAATCGTAAAAGCAGAAGATAATTTTCTTACACAAAACATATGCTGTGACTGATAGTGGAGAGTGCTTCACTGAGTTTAAATCTAGTAGGAATTACAAAAACACATTTATTCCTGCTGTTGCTCTCATTATAATTCAATACATCATCGGAGAAAGACCTTATTTTTGGTGGTCTACATCCTGCTTTGGATGGATTTCACTCTGAAGGAAAAACTGACAATCGCTCTGGATTTTAGGTTAACTTAGATACTCCAACACTTTTAAGTACACACACCAAAACACACACATTCTTCACTCAAACACAGCAGATCTAGTTATCTCAAAGATAACTCCCTTAACACATAAGGTACGGAAGTTTAAAATGTGACCAAGGCTAAAAATAGCGCTGCACCCAAGTTTAATTTCCTCATGTCATTTGTTCTGGCCTCATCCTGAGAGGGTGAGAGTAGCCTGGGGGTCCTGGTTAAATATTATCCTGATGAGAAGATAAAAACAACAGTGGTTACCAGCCACACTGTGGTTTCCTTTAAGGGGCTGCTGAATAATAAAACCACTGTTTGCTGTTCTTGTTTATAATAATTACAGAGGTTGATAGGGCACACACGCACGCACACACAGATACACTTACACAAGTATGTTTCAAATGGTCCGAAAACCCTGAAATTGAATCCTGGCAGTTTAACCACAAACACACATAAAAAGACATATTCTAGGTCACACACACACACACATACTCTCTCTCTCACACACACACACGGGCTGCCAGGATTTGTCCATTCAAGTCTGGTTTAGCCGGACGACAACGATAATATGGGTAAAACACAAACATGCACCAGTGATGACCTCCAGCATGAAGCGATAGCATCTTACCGCCGATGAAAGAGGCTCTGAGAGAGAGAGGCAGGGAAGCAGAGAGGAAGGAGGTGAGATGGGATGACTCTGGCAGACAGTGTCAAACAAGAGGAGGCAGCGAGGGACCAGAAGGGAAGAGGAGACAGCAGGACATAGCCAGAGCCATCAGAGAAAGGTCATGCTCAGGAAGAGACTCTGAATGTGTCTTCATGCATTTGTGTGAGCTGTATTAATGTGTTTGTTTGTCCGTATTTGCGTGCGTGTGTGTGTTTGTCTCCTATGTGAACTCCAGGCTGGCTGGTTTTAAGCAGTTTGAGCTGACGGAGGTATGTGGGATGGACCAAGCCCAGATATCTGTTGCACAGACAGGCGCATACACAGCTGCGGCGGAGTCGCAAACACACATATAAAGAGAGGATATTATAAAATGATAGTAGCAACCACAGATGGAATAAGAAAAGGCATCACAGACAAAAACTAATAGGAAAAACAGATGGAAAAGAAATACAAAACTTGTTGTTTACTTTGTATTTAAACCCACAAACATGATCTGTCTGTCTCTTTTCAATGATAAGACCATTTCCCGCTCGGCAACATGATATCCCAGCCCGGGGAGCGGGGAGCTGAAGCTGTCGCCTGCAGTGTGGCCGTTGGCAACAAGCAAATGGCTTTTAGACATGTCTGTCTGCTTGCCTTAATACTAGATTACTACAGACTTTTAGGGAGATTAAGACAGTTGTTCTATGTTGTCATCCCCTGGCAGCTTGAATGACAGTATCGTGGAGAGATACAACATGTTCACCATTACTGAGGCTTGTCATTGAGTTCATTTGACTCAATTTTACTGCAGCTTGTGGCATTTAAAAAGGGGAAAACAGATCAAAATATCACTTTTTAATGCCTTTGCTTATTTTCTAGCTGTCATTTTGTTGAAAATTCAATGTCAAAGTCACTTTTGAAGCTTAAATATCAAGTATTTCTTCGTATCGGTGTATCTGAGGTGAACCGGGTATATTTGGATTCTTGGCTCATACTGAGACAGAGGGAAACAACTCAGCATTAAGGAACTCAGGATGGATTGTTTTCACCACTTTCCAATACTTTTAAACCACATTATTATTAATGCAACCAGTACTCCCAAAAGTAGCCAACATGAGTCTGGGAACTTGATTCTTATTGACCTATTTTAGAAAATAACCGGTTTTAAATGCATCTTTCATCCGTTTTCAGCCACTCCAGGACACATTTTGGTCCTTTGCTGCAAGCCACAAGATTAAAAACCGGTTAGAGCATCAATTTTAATCTGGAGCTCATCAATTTACAACCAAAAAAGGTGCTCTGTCTGAGAAGGGAAAAAAAAACCCTGCTGATCGTGTTACCTCAAAGGACAACAGAAGTCAGACAGCCTCTGTGAAGACAAGCTGCGCCAACACACATCATCAGATAGCTTAGACGCTTGTAATGATTTCGCTGGAAGTGACGTCTGCAATCTCGGGCGTCTTTAAGCTCGCATTATGTTGCTTTTGTGTGTGTGTGTATCTGTGTGTGTGTGTGTCGCCCCATTTCGTCAGGGCAGTCTGGGCCCGTTTTTTGGCTCCCCAGTCATTATACCGGCACAGGCAGATGTTTTAGAGCTCAGTGCGCACAGACACACAACCGCAGCATTACATACGGAACCTATGAAGCTTCAAGGTGACGCCTAAATCAGGTTTTATGCGAAAAGCACTGATTCATTTCCCAACACTAAAAAAGCCAGCTCCATTTTACAGCCCAGCCTTAATACTGAACACGACCTTACACTAAATATCTGGCTAAAGTGCCCCTGGGTTTAACTAGACACCTCCACGCTACAGTGTGTGTGTGTGTTTTTTTTTTTTATAGAGGTGTGTTACACTGAATGTCTCCATTTCTGTTTGAATTGACTCCAAAATGAAAAATGTGTATTTATGTGAGTGACAAAGTGCTTGTTTTGTACGTATTGTGGCAGATGTAGTCAGAGGGCGGTGTTCCCTCTCTCTCTCTCTTTCTCTCTTTCTCTCTTTTCTCTCCCCCTGATGTGTTTTCCATGTGTGCTGGAAAGACAAACACAGCTGCACTTTAATGACACTCAAATGCTTCTGGGATTCAGTATGCATGTGTGTGTATATATATATGCGTGTGTGTGTTAGTGTGTGGGTCTTTGTGCGAGGGTGTGTGTTCTTTCTGACCACTTCAGTGAAAAGCCTGTTGAAGCTACTCTTGCTCTGCGCAACTACGCCCCAGATCCCCACCGCAACTCATGGCCTCATCTTGTGTTAGTGTGTGTGTGTGTCTGTGTGTGTGTGAGCAGGCATGGGCCCAATCTTTTGATAGCCATGAAGCCCAAGGTTGTGTTTCTGAGCAGCTATGCCTACCATGTAATGAGTTGTCTGCATCGTCAACTGGCTGTTTGACTTTTGGACCCTTTTCTTTGACTGTAACGCCCCCCCCCTCCCATTCACAAACACATGTACACACGACATGCACACACGCAGACAGCAGGGAGTCCCCGGACGAGATGAGACAGGCTGTGAGCTTCAAATGACCCCGAAAACAAAACTGCCGCTGAGTGATAAATGAGACAAATACACGCTGGCACTCTCTCTCTCATTCTCTCTCTCTCTCTCTCTCTCTCTCACTCTCTGTCTGTGTTGCTCTTCCTCATTAACACAACACAAATGGAGCCATCTCCTCTCTCTCCTCTTTCTCTCCTCCCATCTCCCTAAATAAATCTTCCCATCACAAAACACTTGCAACGCTGATAAATTTTAATTTGCTTCATTCTTATTCTCTGGCTTTTACTGCCCATCAAAAGAGAAAACTTCCACTTTCCATCATGAACCGCAGACACACAAAATCATGAATAACTGTGCGTTACACAGTCAGATTTTTTATCAATTTAAAGGACTGTATTATGAGATTTATATGGACCTCCAGGATCCAAATACACCAGTGAGTCAAAACATTTTTACAGACATTCTGAGGATTTTACTTACAGTCAGTTTATTCAGCCATATCCTGTCATAACACGGCATGAGTTTTACAGGTTAAACCCCAGGGTCTTACGTAGTAACTGCTCCAATAAAGTATGTGGACTCACAATTATTCTGAGGAGTAATATGCAGATTCAAATCTAGTTACATCAGCTTGTTTTCTCATATGTTGGCTTTGAAACAGCTTACAGATGAAAAATCGGCGCTGGAGAGGAATTAATCAAAAATATTTACTTGCCACTCACAATCTGCGCCTCCTGATCTACACCTTTCATAACGGCCTCTGAAGAAAATGACAAAAGCTGTTGATATGATTATTGATCTGTTGGTTTACTCTGGCTCTGTTGTCTCTTAAGATGTCCTGGGCTCACCCTCTTCTCTGTTACTCTCGTGCTCTTCCACTATCTCTCAATCTCTGTCAGAGTTCAGCCTGAAGGGACCTTTCATCTAGTGTACTCAGAGGAATGCAATAATGCATCCTGTTTCAGCAACAGTACACTATGAATTCTTGCTATCAGTCCATATATGACTATCTGTGAAGTGCATGCAAAAGAAGTTTTAATTTCTCAATCTCCTGCTTCTTTTACCGGCATTTATAAATAGAGTAATAAAATCCATCCATCCATCTCTGCATCATCCTTTAGATTCTGTCTGCCTATCCAAACATGCTCTAAACAAAATTAATAAAAACCGAAAAGCATTTCCCTCCAAATCTGAGTTGTACAAAAATGGTAATTCAGATATTACTCACAAAGCTATTCCACTGCGCATGAGACACCAATTTCAGACAGCTGTTCAAATCATTGCAAACCTGCAAACTATCACTTTTATACTTGTGTTTACTCCAACACACGGGGGTTTAAGAAAATCACGCAACACATCGAAGAAGTTGCAAAAGCTTCCTCCATTTGCCTCTTTATTTCTTAAAGGCCTGCAAAGTCATGATAAGGTCGAGTTTAATTTTGAGCTGAATAGATTTACCCTTTAATTCAACTATTCTGTTAACCTTGATCATCTCTGATGTATTTTTGCTGTCTAATATGCATGTGCTAGCAGTGACAGCTCATGGTGTCAGCAGGACTAAGGATTAAATCCTCCTCTCTGCTTATCCTGTGCCTAAAAAAGAAGGGCAGACACCGTGTTAAAGAAACACATTACTGTCTAAATCATATCCTTTTAGTCACTCTAAAAAGGGTTTTTTGTCACTCCTCGCCATGGCAATCTTTTATAATACGCACACTGCTCCTTTGGAAATATAGATTTGTCTTGCAATCCATCACTTTTGAAGAACTGCTCATAAAATCTCTTGAATTGAAACAAAAGCTTCATGAAGTTAAGTGATATCTGTCGATACAAAGAGATGTGCCAGGAGATTCATCGCTCTTTGCTTGACCTCAGGTGGCACCAACCTGCCATGGCAGTGTCCAATCAGGAGCTCAGAGCTTCAAACAACATTTTTCTTTCATGATGAAGTTAAGATAAAAGGAGATTATGAGCGCACCATAAACTCAAAATCGACACATAAAAGTAAGGCACAGAGCCAACCATGATAATCCTCCTCAAATGCTTATATGAATATTCTGAATGTGCAACAGGAGCGATCTTCAGAATGAGTTCTGTGTGTGTCAGCATATGTGTACCGAGCACAACTTCTGCTTTCATTCACAAACTATCACAACCACTGCTCAAGGTCGTGGTTCACAGTAGCAGACTCAGTCCGAGCAGCACATAGCTGATCCCCAGCTGGTCTGTTAATGTGGAAACACACAGACACACACTTGCGCACACACCCCTCCAACCATTTCCTATCCTGATGTGATGAAGTCTGGCCGGAAACAGCCATTTCCCTGAATGTTCCCATCTCTCCTCCGGCATACTCCCTCATCCTTGATTCATTGCCAATAAATCAGAGCGAGAGGGAGAGAGAAACAGAAAGACAGAGACGGCATCAGTAAGAAAAAGTGCAGGAGAAGGGGAGGCAGCACACTGGAGATGAGAGAGCGGAGATGAAGGGAAACCAGATGTGTGCTGTGTCCTCGTCAACACAGCTCAGAGAGGGAGTTCACATATCTGAATATGGTAGAGGGGACTTTGATGTGGTGACGTCTTATCCAAGAAAACAACAACAACAACGCAGCTGCCATAAAAACTCTACACATCCCACAAAGCGGGTGCGCTTTATTTCATGCATGCTGGTCAAACTCCAAATAAACAACCAAAAAGAAGGAAACTGCCAGAGAAAAACAGACCAAAATATTGGGTTATGTACAAATCAACACAGACTGAAACGACATCCTCATTAGTCTCCTGCTCTTTTGTCCCGTCTTCTACATTCAGAAAGTAAACTTTATCCCTTCATGCATTGATTACCCATCCAAACAGTTAAAGTGATTACTTGACTCATATTTATTATTCAAACGGAAAAACAAGTTTAGGCTTTTTTACAAATAAGAATACATACTGCCTCCCTCTGTGCGGCACTGTTCCGAATGGTCTGCAAATCCTGACCTAATGTAACCCCTGACGGCAGTGGACTCTGACTTTTTTTCTAGGGTTCACACACAGTAGGCATAGTGGGAAAAGAGAGGGAGAGAGAAAGTGATGACCAGTACTTTATAACTTTGTCTTCACTTTTAAAAAGCTGATTCAGGACAATGACAGAGCAAAAGACAAAAGGCGCTAACAGGGACAGCTGTTATTAGGCCATCTTTAGTTTAGCTGGGGTCTCCATCAGGTTAAGGATGAGGACTCTGCTCAGAACAACCAGGATGCAAAGATTCTGCCGCTGCTCCCATGAGAAGACTGTGGATTGGCAAGAAAACACCTTTTGGCAGGAAATCAAGAGTAAAATTTAGGTTTTCTTTTTTCTTTACATTTTTGATTAACTGTGCCGACCTCTGGTGCTTCAGATGGAGTGAAACCGTTGCGGTTAGTTTTAATCTTAACAATCTTTTTGCCAGCTATGGAGTTAAACATGGCCTTAGCTGCAAAGAGTGACAGATGAAGCTGGCCCAAAGATGAATGGATCTATATTGGAAATGCTCATTTGATGGAGCATGCATATTTACCACATTCAGCCACAGATTTGATCACTCTTCTACACCAGGTTTTTCATGTCTGAGCTTTATCTGCCATGCCAGAGGAATCTTAATCTGAACCTTTATCCAAACATCATTAAAAGTTCTGTATGAGGCCTGTGAGTGAACCTCAAGTATCATCACAAGTCTGTCACCCAAGTTGTGATTCAGAGGTATAACGCTCAAAATGTTTTTAAAGAAACCTTTTTAAGAATTGAAGGCGGTTCTATTTGTTTTAGTCTTGGCAATCCAAAACACAACAAACTATTGTCAAAGATACAAGTTAACATGTAAATCGTCTTTTCCAGTTGCTTGACAGTGACCTACAACTAAATCAAACTGAAAAATCTGAAGTAGATTTTACTTTACTGCTTACAACAGATAACGCCTCACAGACATAAAAGTCTGAGGACAGCCTGTTCCTCTGCACTGCTGTTGACATGTCCTCAGACGCAAACACAAACCTGGCAGTACATGTTTTCACAGTAACCCGTACCATTGAGCAGGAAGGTGCAGACTGCCGTGAAGGTGCAAATGAGGTGACAGGGTGAGACTGATATGAAGGCTGACTCATCTTCTACCTATTCTGCTCCATCTGTGAGGTTAATGTGGCACACAGAAAGGTGTCCCTTTTCGGAGATAAATTACGCTCTATATTTCCCTGTACAAGCAAAGTGATTTTTCTTCAAATCTAGATACATATATTGTTGTTTAAGCCTGTACACTTACAAAGAAAGATGCTCAAACGACTAATCTACCTACATTCATGTTGCGACTGCTACTTTTGGTCATTTGTGACTCTTATTGTAGCTACCGTAGAATAAATGTGTTTGTCTCTGTAAATTGGAAGATTGTGCAATTTTCATTTGGAGAGGTGAGCCGGGTAGAGATAAAAATAGTTTGGTTCATAACAGATTCTGCAGGAATGAAAAGAATTTGGGATAACACCATTTTCCAGATTTGTTTATCCAGGGGAAGAGCTATTTCAACACTTTCTATATACAGACTCTTATCTCATCTGACTGCACCAAATGAGCAAAGATGCATCATGCAGCATCAAATAAACTGTCTGCCAGTGCAGGAAATAGAAAATAGAGCCAGCAATCTTCATTATGAAGGGCATAATTCTTACTAAAACCAATGACTATAAATCACCAGGCTGAACTTGACCAAAGATTAAACTATAAAAAAGCTACAGCTCAAAGAATATGAAAAAAGAAGTGTTGAATTTGTCATCAAGCCCATCTAGAAGACTAGTCATTCTGTGGAAAAGCAGCACTCTGAGGTTTCAGGGAATGATTAAGCTTGTTGTGATACCGATTGATCATCTTTGAGTCCTTTAATGGCGGAGTCCGGTAGATCAATACAAGACTCAGATCAATTACAACTCGCAGACAGCGTCTTTACAGTAAGAGCAGAGGAGCACGTCTTTCCCAGGAAAACAAGCCAAGGCCTCCCGCTATTCACAGCTCTTTTCCCCTACAGGGTTTCCTGTCCTGATTAGCAGGGGCAGACGGACCCTCTCATTACAAAGACCACAGATGAAAATGAGAGCAAAATGAGGCCCATTACCAGGCGGGCGTGACTAATATCCTCCTGCAGACCCTTCTACGACGGCTGGACACGTGCACGCTCATGGTGCGCACGCATGCAAGTTACACATGTACACAAAAGAAGTCAGACGCACCCAGCAAGACGCTGAATCAATAACACAACAGAAACACAGGCCAAGGGGAAGTTGGTAATAAACTTTGGCTCTATTAAATGGACCAGATCTATGGCTGCTCTGCAGGGGGTGTCTGGCTCTTTTCACTTAGTGTATCTATAGCTTTTTGTGACTCCGTGTGTGTGCGTGTGTGTGCGTGTGTGTTTCCTAATCATCCGTGATGTCATTAGTGCTAAATGGGACCCTGGCCCTGCCTAATTCCTGCCAGCTAAAAGTTTCTCTGTTTCCTCTCTCCCCCTCATTCCTCTTCTCCTAACCACTCTTACATCACTTGACCAGTCCGGTAATATTTCATCTCTCATGTGCTTCTCTCATCTCCACAGACATCCACTTCGCTCTTCATTTCCTTAAATTCCCGTAACAGATTCATTACTTTCCTGGAATACACGATCGTCAGCTCATGACTCACTGCTAGCCTCACCCCTGCCTCCAATCCCATCTACGTTCGAAATATCAATCCATACCCCTTTCTGATTCTGTGCTTCTCATACTTTTCTACCGTTTCTTCATCCTCACTTTCCCTGTTTATACCGCCTATTTATCATCTCTCCAGAAGCATCCCCTGCTTTTGCCTCTCCACATTTATTTTTTCTACTAAAGTGCATCATTTTGTGGCTTAAAATGTTTCCATTCCAGTTTGAATTGATCTGTAACATACCCACAGGAGGAACATAATGCCTCGCTGTGGCGTCAAGTGTTTTTCTTCCATATACTTCACTTTCGTTGCTGTGTTCTCAAGCTCTAACTTCATATCTACCGATTTTCCTTAATTTTTCAGCCCTCTCTCTCCCGGTGTCTCCTGTGTTTAAACCACCTTCCTTCCACCTTTGCAGATCAGGTCTGTTGGGTGATTTATAGCTTTGCAACAGGCTGGCAGACCCCGGGAAAAAAAAAAAAAAAAAGAAAAAGGGAGGAGGGGTAGATGAAAAGAGGTGGGGCCGGGTGGAAATTGGGCTGTTTGGCGTTTGAAGTACATGAAGGAGTAATATAAAATACACCTGGTCCATCCATGGGGCTTGCTCTGTACACAGAAACAAAGGGAGGGGAGGGAGTGGTAGAGGTGGAGGAGAGAGAGAAAGGGCCTGGCCACAGGGGGAGAAAGGTGGATGGAAAAGGAGGGGGAGGGGTCATTTCGTGTTTCCTTTCAGGATGGCTTTTATGGTGTAACTTCAAACGCTGACCTCCCACAGCCCCGCCCTTACTTCCCCCCTCTCTCCCTCGCTTCATCCATCCATCCATCCCTCCCTCCTCTTTTCTCACTATTGTGTACGGCCAAGTGGACAGTAATTGGCTATTCTTTCATGAGGCTGATTTCAGCACTTGCTGCCCCCCCCCTCCCCTCCTCACAGGAAGAGGCCCTTTTTGCTGCCTCAGAAGTAAATGTATGTGTGTGTACATTGTAAATACTCCAGACGGTGGGTATCAGGTGGTTGAAGGGGGCTGCACTGGACACAGACTCTGCAGGCATTTCATTCACTGCCGGCTAAATTACAGCACATTACAACTGGGGCTAAAATGATGTTCAAACAGGTACACCTTTCTCGATAAGCGTACGTAAAATACGCTGAGAGCTGTGGCCAAAAGTCCTGAAAAACTACTCAAAGCTCTAACTAGTCACTGAATAGAAACAATATTCTTGGATATGAGTGGGTGTTTAATCTTTCCTTCACAAAATTTAATTCAAAGACACCCAGGGGTGCCAACTTCAGGTGTTCATGCCGTAAAGTGTCCTGTACTAAAGATAAGAGGTCCTGCCAATGTTTCCTGCGGTTTTCAAAATATGAGTGTATTGAGCGATATGTAAAAAGCTGCTCCAGTCTCACTAATGACTTCTGGCCTTCTGTGGCTTATAGATCAGCGTGCGTTCATTAATGATACAGGCGTGTGTGCAAGTGTGTGTGTCAATTAGCAAGAGTAGGGGATTAGCCATCCCCGGAGAGGCCTTATTAACGCTTAACACGCCAGTGAAACGCTCTTTTTTTGGATGTCTGTTGGCATTTTTCAACATTTAAAGTGAACTGTGCGAACTGACGGGAAACTGTACAAAGAATCAAAGAAGCAGAACAACAAGGCCAAATGGTTTCCACCTACCTCTCCACAATCCTGTGACCACACACACAAGCAGGAGGAGGTATGTGATGTATACAAGCTCTTAAAAGGTTAAATGTGTGGAGGACTACACAACATAAACACAGACTTAAACAAGTACAGGGTTGTCTGTTCTTGCAGACACAACACATAAACACACATGGGGATAATTGTGTTGTCTGAAAAGCAAAAAAGACTGTGCGGCTCATGAATCACAACCACCGAGGAGAAGCCTTCCAAAAGAAGAGCCGGGGACACTTGCTGGAGTAAGAAGGAGAGCAGAGGGAATAGATGTCTTAATACACCGGAGTGTCGCCTACCTCTTTGTAGTTCACCTTGGGCTCTATTCTCTTCCGCTTTCTGCCCTTCCCCTGATGACTCTGACTGAGGAGAATCCATTTTACAACCTGCAGGAGGGAGGATGAGG